TTAAATTAAATATATCAATATGGGCCAGAAATTAACTTTAAACAGCAGTGTTTGCGAGCAGAATTTGCTATATAAACAGCATCCATTTGTAAAATAGAGTGGCTTTCCCCTAAATCTCGCGCTTTAAGTTTAGAAAAAAAACTTAGACAAGATGGCTTCTATAGTACATGATCATGGTTGCATCTGTTGGAAACATCGCTAGTCTTCATTTATTACTGAAAAGTTTTAATTCAATTGTTTAAAAACGGGTGCATAAATGAAACAAGGAAACATTTTTGTATTTTTCTAAATATAAATCCTCCTCAAAATGTGAAATAATTATTAAAATTTAAGGAGTCACCTGTTTTTCACATTACTAGTCGCGGCAATTTTACGTACCCAAAATGATAGATTACCCTATAGAGATGTCTATATATAATTCAATTTAAATTCTGTTCTTGGAGACGATAGAAAAGACCAAGCTGTAAGCGCGCTCCCTACCACCCCCACCACTACATGGTCTGGTGAGCTGTGGTTCACGCTAAATGTTTACAATCGTAGAGCCGGGTTTAGTGACAGCTATTAGGGGCAGATAATTTAGTTTGAAACGATTTTAAACTTAGGGGAGGTAGCTAAGAGGAGGCTGCTTTCACTGGAAGGGGGGGGGGGGGGTTAGGGGTTGAGGGAAAGGAGGGGGGTTATCGTCCTTAACGACTTACTGATAGTGTTTTAAAGCAAATATTTTCAGTGACAGCAGTGGTACTGTCGAATTCACAAATTATGAATTACTGAAAAGTAGAAAATAAAACAACTAAATAGCTGCGTATCATACAGCCGGTCGGCTTGTTATAAATAAAAACTAAACCAACAATTAAGAATGCAGAACTAAGAATGTACATTTAGGGATTCCTTCCAGACACCTCCCCCCATTATATAAAGCAAGGTGGGAATGCCATGTTAAATTGTACAAAATACAGGATCATATTATGTATATATACAAGAGCCAGTCATGCAGAGATCATTTACAAGGGCTTTAAATTTTGTTCACTGCACCATGACAAACAGATGCAGTAAATTCCATATCAGAGCTCAACATCAGTAGGGTGGGGACATTTACAGCCTGCAGTTTGTCAGGCTGCTTTCTGTTCCATTGTAATTGTTTTATTTTAGGTTAATAACCATTTAATGTGATTTTAAAATTTTAGTTGTAGTTAAAAACAACACATAGATGTATTAAACTAGACATATGTTTGATGCAGCTACTTCTAACAATACAAAAATACACTTAAACTTTAAACATCTCCCAGAAGAGAATTATATATATATATATATATATATATATATATATATATATATATATATATATATATATATATATATATATAGATAAGAAATACTTACACTTTAATTTTTTTTAAAAAGCAACATTTAACTATTTCTGATTGTAACATCGTAAAAAAAAAGTATATCTATGTAATACAAAGTTTTATCGTACAATTTTTTTTCAGATTGACAAGTGGGAAATCTATTTCCACAAAAACATTAAAGCAGAGTATGAGCATATGAAAAAAATATTAGCTTTAAAGTATAAAATAGTGGAAATTGAACCTTTAATTATTGAAAGGGAAGGATTCCCAAATCAAGAAAATGTATCTCAACTCTTCAAAATTACTGAGGCAACTTTAACTGACACAGAATATTCAAAACTAAATACTGATTCCAGTGTAAGGAAAAGTGATCATATTTCAAGACAGTTTTTGGAGGTTGACAAGTGTATATTCTATTTCAATAAACAACTTAAATTTGATGGTGAGTCAATAAAGAAAATAACTATTTTAAAATTTAAAATTGTTTTAGTTGAACCATTAATTGTTGAAAGTGAAGGGTTCCCAAAACAAGAGAATTTACTCAAAATAACTGAAATTCTGAGGAAACATGTTGCTAACAAAGATAACCAAGAGAACAACTGTTATTCAGAGTTACAGAAAATAGGTTCAATCTTAAAAAGTAATGATCCTCTTGAAAGTCAAGATGTTGATGAAATATCTTCAATACTGGCGGATGTGCACATTAACGATGGAATGCAATTTCAAAGTGGCCACTTTGGTAGAGAAAATATAACTAATCCTCAAAAGAGTGATGATCTGTGTGATCAGAATGTTGAAAACTGTGAAGATAATTTTCCTTCAGCTTCAGAAAAAATTGATAGTGTAAATCCTCAAGGAGCATCTTCAGAATTAAACCAGTCTTCATCATCTAGTGATGATGAGAGTCAAACTGAAAGCCGTAATAATCCATTACACTACAGGAGAACACAGCTAGATGAAGATAAACAAATTCCTGTTGAACATCACAGTGAAAAACATAGAAAAAATAATAGTAGGGTCCAAGAAGCAGTTGTAGAACAAAATAAAAATACAAAATTTAACTCCTCAAAAGATTTATGCATAGATGAAGGCAAAAAAGACATCAGTGTGGACAGACACAAGCAAGTCAGTGGCAGTTATGATATAAAAAATCAAAACAAAATGACTTTCATGCCAATAGCAAAGCAAAAACTGGAAGCAGCCAAAATATTCTATGAAGATACAGAGTATGCTTTATATTTGAAGTCTTTTGTTAAAATTGATGATGATTATGGAATAGAATATCTCCCCGAAGACAAAAAAGTGCTAGATTTCTTAGCAAAACTGAATGACTTTGAAGTTATTGAAATAAATGCAAGGTTTGATATCAGTAAAATAGAAAAACATTTCCCTGGCATCAGGGCAGTTTATGCAAAAGATCTTTTAAGAATTATGGGTCGAAAGGCACAAGTTTTGTCTGCATGCAAAGCACTCAGAAAAACTCAAAATGAATCTAACACACCAACAAGTGGAAATGTCTGTTATAGGCCTACAGATAGAGAGAAAATATTGTCCAGTCTAGAGACACCAAGAGATGATCAATTGTCATCTTTGAAGCACCATAGTTCAGTTGAACAAGAAATTAATTTAGTAAAATTTAAAGATGAGGATGTTGAAATGTGCAGTGATGATACTGAATCAGAAACAGCACAGACATATGTTTCTATTGAAATGAAAAAATTCAGAGCAGCCTGTGTGTTTTATAAAGACACTAAATATGTTTCATATTTAACATCTGCACTACAATCAAACAATGATTATGCAATAAGATTTCTAACTAAAGATAAAAAAGCACAAAAGTTTTTAACTAAACTGGATGATTTTGAATTATATGAAATTGACTCAACAGAGCTAACATTTTCTCTAAGTGATTTTGTAGAGAAGAAATGTCCCCACATCAAAGTAAAATCTTTTGAAAAAAATATTTTTACTCTTATGGGTCAGAAGGAGGACTTGCTGTCTGCACACAAAAAAATACTCTCTTTTATTGACTACAATAATAAAATAACTAAAAATGTAGACAAACAGGCCTATGAAAGAAACAAAGAGAAAAAGCTACAAAGCTTAGAAAAATTTGATGACACCAGAAAAATGCTAAACCAACATCAAAAAGAAGTTAAAACTCAACTTTCAAATGAAAAGCTACAAAGCTTAGAAAAATTTGATGACACTAGAAAAATGGAAAACCAACATCCAAAAGAAGTTAAAACTCAACTTTCAAATGAAAAGGATAAAAAGCAACAAAAAAATGTTGATGCAATTCCATTAACAGATAGTGATAAAGGTGTATCCAGTGATGAAACTGAATCAGAAGAATCCTTTACTATTGAAGAGAGAAAATTTGAAGCATTTAAATTTTTTTATAAGGACACTGTTTATATGTCATTCATAGAGTCTGCAGAAAAACATAAAGGAGGTTATGAATTAACAATCTCATCAAAAGACAAAAAAGCACAAGAATTCATAACTGCTGTAAAAGATTTTAAGATATTTGAAATAGATGCAAAAACAAAAGTTAACCATATTATCAGTTCTCTTGAAAGAGAGCATCCTAAAACCAAAGTAACATGTTTTGGAAAAAATGTTGTAACTCTTATGAGTCATAAAGATCATTTTCAGTCTGCTAAAAGTAAGATCCTTTCCTTAATTGGAAACAATGATGAAGATACAACATGGTCAGCTAAAGCTGAATATGCCACTGCATCTCATGAAGAGAATGGAGCCAAATCTCTGGGGATGGGAAATAATCTAAAGGGAAGTGGAGATTTTTCAGACTCAGATGACAGTGAGGCTGAACACTCTTCCAAGTGGAGTCACAGAGAACAAAAGGAAGATCCTTTAAGAAAGGAAAGTAGTAAACTACAGGTTGGAAGGAGAATAATAGACCGATCTTCGTACCCCCCTGTTTTTGTTGGATGCTCAAAACTGAAAGTAGTTGTTATGAGAGATGACATTACACAACAAAAAGTAGACTGCATAGTCAATGCAGCATCTAAATCTCTAAAACACAGCCATGGAGTGGCAGGTGCCATAGCAAAAGCTGCAGGCCCATCAATGCAACAGGAATGTGATAATTATATTTCAGTACACAAAGCTGTACCTGTTACTGGAATTTTTGTTTCTGATGCTGGTCTATTATCAGTACAAAAAATTATCCATGCTGTTGGACCAAAATGGGATGACTACAGTGAACGAGATAAGAAACGTTGTGAGGAAGATTTACGAAGAACTGTCCTCAGGTGTCTGCTAGAGGCTTCAAAAAGGAAATTGTCTTCTATTGCCTTGCCTGCTATCAGTTCAGGTAGGCCTAATAATTTAGTTATATTTTCCAATTTTTTTGTCAGTTACAAAGTTAATGATCTCATTAGAAACAAAATGGCTTACAAATCTGATTTCAGAAATGCATTTAAAAATTTATTCCTCTAAGAATAATTTATAATGAATAGATTATTTTTTTGTAGAAAAAAATCCGCTCCTAAAGCAGTAAAAACATAATAAAAGAGAAAGTAAAGAAATAAACTAGTTTTATAAAGTGTATGTACTTTGGGAATCAACCAAAACTGAACTAATGGAAGATGCTGGTGAAGCTGTAGGGTTGAGGAGATATGCAGAGGAGCTACACTGTTAATGGTATACTCTTTCAGGTTTATTTTTTTCCTCCCTTTTAAAATGTTGTCGGAAGTAGTTAGGAAATTGTCATTAAATAACTCACACGACCAGATGTAATTTTTTCGGAGTGTTTCTTTTCCACAAACTCTGAAACCCTCTGATGTGGTTTATTGAATCTCAAATTCTGTTCAAATTTCTAAGCAAAGCATCGCTCACTTGATCGCTCGTATCTTAAATGTCTTGTGTGTTGGTGCACTCATCTTTCAAGGTACCGCTCTAAAGTTAAATCAAAAGAAATATATGAATTTACTAAATTGAAAAATGAGAGAAATTAATTTTACTATAAAAAAAAGTAATAACAATGTTTAAAAATAACAAGCTATAAAAAAAAAATGCTATAATAATGCACCACTATTTATTTAACTATAAAGTAAAGACTGACTTGCTAAATTATGTGTTAAATACACTTAATAACATTTTTTGAGCAGCTTATGCTTATAGTTATAAAATATGAATAGCAGTGCATTATTATAAATTTAAATAAAATAAATTTACTTTCTTTTCTTTAGTTTACAAATTCAATAAACTTTTAAATTATTTTCTTATTTTTTAGTAGACCTAAAAAGAAAAGAAAAAAGCATGACTAAAACACTTGTGCACCAAATGCTTGTGCCAAACGTGTGCATAATAATATGAAAAGATTAATAGTTTATATATCTTTAGTTAATTTAAGAAAAAAATAATTAAATATCTATTTTTGTAAAAATTTATGTCACATTCCATTATCAGAGGGTATTGAACTACATGTCAAGTTTGAAACAAATCAGTTTATTAAATATGGGGGAAACTTTTTAGTAAGTTTCAACCCTGGTGAAGAAAACGCTCAAAACAAAAGCATTAATTACAAAGAATAAAGTCAAATAAATGCTTGTTATAATAGCATTATTCATGTAATTCATATTACATATTAGTTTGTTATATTAGTTATATACAACTCAATGACGAGGTGAATTCAGTTGTTTTCTATTTATTATTACAGCAGGGTTTAAGGTTCCAAGTCACCTCTGTGCTGTCAGCTATGTAAATGCTGTTAAACATTTTGATGTCATCACAACAGATTTACATTTGCATCCACTTAAAGATATTTGTTTCATTGATATCAATGACAAAATGGTGATGACCATAACTGACTGTTTTAAAAAAAATTGGGAAGAAGATATACTTGAGTATGTGTATAAAGAGGATTTAGAATTTGCAGTCAACCATTTCAAGAATGATCATTCAAAATCAACTCACAATCCTCAAAATAGACCACGAGGTGGAAGCAGACCTAGAAACATGACTGAGTCTCGACACTCATCAATAGGGAAAGAATACAAAATAGACAGTATAAAACTTTATCTAAGCCCTAAACCTGCTTTTGATTTCAAGTCAGATGTGGTTATAATTGGCAAGCCATTCCAAAAATTAAGTGGACTACATAATTTTGATGCAAAAACTCTTAAAAAGAACACAGCAAAAACGAGTAGTAACCCAAAAGAAGTTAAACATCTCTATTCACAACTTAAAGGCAAACCTTGCCGTTGGGTAAGCCAAGTTAAAATTCAAGGTTCATCAGTAGAAGAAATGGAAAAGGCTATTAAAAATCTCAAGTTTGCAATTGCAGGACAGATGTCTGTTGTCGTCACAAGCAACCTATTTTATTCAGGTACTGTAATAAATAAATGTGAGAGTGTAAGATGCTATTATTCTTTCCATTTGCTAAAGCTTTATCTAAATTGTTTTTTAATGTTCAGTAAGTTAAACATTTGAAACTCAAAACGAAATAAAAAGAGTGCAGTTTTCTGGAATTAATGCACTTAAAATGATACATCTTTCAGGTATGATATTTAATTTAGGGTTGACAATGTCATTTGGACTAGAAATACTAATACCCAAATGAAAGTGCTAATCATCGATCATTAAGTGTATTAGAATTAGAAATTAAAATTTGAAATGGTATTTTATGTTACTGCTTTTCAACACAAACCATTCTAGACTTGCTGCTCCAAATGTCACTAAATTACCTCATAAATCATAGAGCACCACTAATTAAGCTATGGTTAGACTTGTGCATGTAGTCTTTCATAAGATTTAGATTATATTTATAAGGCTGGAAACTGTACTAAAAAAAATTAATTGGCGTAGAACATGGATAACAAATAATTTGGTATCTTTAAAATCACTTATATATAAATAAATATATTATATTTTTTAACTTGTAAGGTAGTGTTATCTTTCTTTTAAAACACTTTGGTTTACCCAGTTATCATTTCCCTTTTCTGGACATGTTAAAAGGTTTGTAAGAATAACCCATAATTATATTCTCAAGTAAAGCCCTACTTTTAAAAATTCAATGATGGTTCTCTTGGCTATTATTTGTGAGCTTATGTTTATAACTTATATTTCAGAAGAGAATAAACTCTCCAAATCTGAGTGGTCCCAGGTTTTGAGTACATTTTGTAAAATTATATGCAAATTCATCAAGGAATACCAAAAAGACAACTATATGCTGAAATCTGTTACAATAACAGCCAGTGAGGAAGCTATTCCAGTAATGATAAAAGTTATGGACTCAGTGTTGAGAATCCCAGGTTAGAAAAAAAAAATATAATTAAAATCATTGTTATTATAAATTTGCATTTATTTGTATGTTGAAACAAATTATTATTTGTCATCTATATATATAATTCTCTATGTGGGGAACATACAAGAAACCACCAAATACGGCCTTAGCCATTCCTACCCCGTTTTCTAGGCTTATCGCTACCACCCACACCCCACCAGTCTGGTGAGCTTTGGTTCAACCAAATGTTTACAATATGATGGCTATTAGGGGCAGATAATTCAGCTTTTAAACAATTTGAAACCAAGTTCTCCTTGATCATTTCATTGTCGTCTGTAAACTTTTGTCACAGACGGCCGCTTTCATGGAGGGGGGGGGGGGAGAGGGTAGTGTCGAATTCACAAATTATGAGCTACTGCAAAATTAGCAAATAGAACAACTAACTAGCGGCAAATACTTACGGCATGGGTCAGCTCGTAATATAAAAAACCTTTAGAGTAAAAACACGTTTCACACGTACAGGTACTTTGAGTCTGCAAATTGCTCTAGAGCTGTGATAAAATAGTTTCTTGTAAAGCAATTTATATAAAATAGCAATATTTAACTTGAGTTAAGCCCTTATAGAGAAATCTTAAGACTAACCATTTATCTGTTGACTGTTCAACATATTAAAATGTACCCATCTTGTTAATGAATAATTAGCCTACATTTGAATCTTAAAATGTGTGTTACTTTGTATTTAAAAAGAGATATTTATAATTTGAAAACTTTTCAGCATTAGATTTTGGAAAGCAGAACCCACCTAGTGGAAGGAAGACACCTACTCCTAATGTTCCACCTCAGCCTGTAAAAGGTGTTATATTTTTTAAAAATATTTAATATTATTACTCAGTTACAAAAAATTCATATGTTTGTATTGTATTTGTAGCCACTATGCTACATGATTTAAGAAAAACAATACTTAGAAATGAGATTAAGTAAAATGATGATAATGTATTCAAAGATAAATTCTTTTTAGATTATGAAAACGATTCAAAATCTAAAAGAGATTCATCATCCTCAACAAATTCTCAGTCTGGTACTGTAGGACATGGCTCTGGTGTTGGAAACAGCCAAGGTAGTTCATAACTATTATTTTAACCTTCTCTGAATATCATGCTATTGAGTTCTCTATAGGTGTAATCTAGCCATATAGATTTTATAGAGAAAAAAAACTTAAGATAAATCTATAATCATAAGTAGAGACAAATCTTAAGGAATTGTTCAATCCATATCTAGCTTGAAATGATAAATGATACATTTTTATATTACTAAAACATTTTGGTTATTCACAATAAATATTTATTCAAAACTAAGATGACTTGCTTGCAATAATATCAAAAAATGTTTCTATTTTATACTCGGGGCATTAAGGTGTTGTTTTATCTAGGGCTTTGGAAACCCACTTTATTCTACTGAGTTGTTTGACCTCAAGGATTAATGTTACATCATATATGCTAAGCATTCAAGATAAGATCAAATTCAACAAAAAAAAAATGCTTGTAAAGTCCAAATTTATTTTATAGCTAAATCACTGTACCCGAAGCTTACAGACGAGTCACAATTACTAAAGGACAAATCTCACTCTCTAGGAGCTACTGCTGATATCCAAATGTACAAAGGTAAAGGCCCATTAACTAGCATGTATTCTTTATATATTTTAGCTGTTGTTTTCTAACATGCTTTGATTTAATTTATGTAGAATGTTAATGTACAAAATATCTTTAATAGTTATGAATTTTATTACATACTCTGTCCAAAAGAAGAACATTTACAAAGCGTTACATAAATTTTTATTTTGTATCTTTATTAATTTTCACACAACATATTATTAAAACTCTCATCAATATTATCATATCACACTTACTTTGATCATTCTAACGGAAGTCTTAACCTTTTACAGAAATATTTGTACTTTTGCCAAAAAAAAAATTATATCTTTAATAAACAAACAAATAATCTTCCAGCTGGAACACCTGTTGACCGAAGCAAAGACTGTGAAATCTGCTTTGAAAATAATGCTGTAGTTACCCTAGCATGCTGCAAGAAAAAAATCTGTACAACTTGTGACAAAAAATGTCAGGCTTGTCCTTATTGTCGTGATCCATTTGATACAATAACTGGCACACAGCCCGATGGTACAATGACTGTTAAATTTTTACGCTACTCAGCTGCAGGCTATGAACCTGCAGGTTCATGGGAAATCACATACAGGTTCTCATCTGGAAAACAAGAGGTAAAGTTTTATTTTCAAAATAAATTTAATAGGTATACTCAATTATAAAAGACTATCCATATACTGACAAACTAGAAAAATTAAATTATAAATTGCTTTCATTAATACCAAACTTTGAATTAACATTATGGCTTAAAATCAACACTGAGCTGTAAATATAATTTCAAACTCAATCCATATTTTCAGAGCCATCATCCTAACCCTGGCCAAATGTACTCAAGAGTTGAAAGAACGGCTTACTTACCAGATGTAGCTGAAGGATTTGATATTTTAATACTATTGAGACTGGCATTTCTACGACGATTAACCTTCACTATAGGGAAGTCGTTGACAACCAACAAAGATAATGTTATCACTTGGAATGATATTCATCATAAAACTAGTTTAAAAGGTGGAAGGTGAGTCTTAACTTTAAAAAAAAAACAACTTAAAATTATCAGATTAACAAAGTTTTTAAAGGAGCATTTCTCCCAACAAAACCCTTGATTTTTGTACCTAAAATATCAAGCTATTTTATAATCCTTTTGTTTTGAGGAAATGTTAGATGCAAATTACACAATGATAAAATCTTGTAAGAACTAATTTAAGTACATTTATTTGAAAACAGTTAAGTTTTAATTATGCAAATCTCTAATACATCACTTAATACAATAAAATTTATCTTGATTTAAATGATTAAAACACTTGCTGTATTCAATGGGTTCAGAATACATAAAAGAAATAGGTAAAATACACTTCCAGATGAAAATTACATCTCCTTTACTCTAATTCACCAACATTACTTTTCTTACTTTACTTTCCTGATTGAAAGCTTTAGTCATCAAATAAGTAAAATAATTGATGCGTAATTGATGTACTTTCTGAGACTTGTACATCATAACAAAACAGTGTAACTCATATGTATTCATAATAGGCTACCCACCATCAATATATGATACCTTGATCATCTACTTATGGGATTTTTTATTTCAATATAAACTTGCTATGTGCAGCTGAGGGGTTAACAGGGTATGTTGTATAAATAATTTTTGACTATAAATTATAGTACAATTCAATTCTTTTTTCAGCTTTGGCTATCCTGATTCAAAATATTTTCAAAGAGTCAAAGAAGAATTAAGTGGAAAAGGAGTCTCCTTGGCAAATCTCACTGAGGCAGAAAGGCGGGATTTAGATTATTTTGCTAGCTGCATTCGTAAAGACAAAATGTTTTTTTGAAATACAAAATCAATACACTTCTAATTTAACTGATTAAGAATTGCATCCAAAAACATGATGGTTATCAGTCTTAAATATATTTAGCATGTTGGCTAAGTAGTCATGTGTACATTTTTTTTAAAAAGTTAGATACTTGGTAGTTTGTATTTTTATTGTTTCTCTGTGATAAACACTTTTTTAAGAATCCAAGATAAAGTTTTAAAAAATCTAAATATATATCTTTTTATGCTTTTATTAATTATCTAATTGACATGAATAATATTTAGTAGATTGTGTTTTTGTCTTTGTTCTTCAATTATTTTTTGCTTCAATTAGACTTAAAGATGCACCAAACATACAATTGTACTAGCTTCCATGTGTTTTAACCCTTTATCTTGCCAATAAATGCTAAATGATACTGATCCTAATTTTTAAGTGTTTGCCCTATACAGTTTTTCTCCATCTTTTCATGTTGTGAAGATATGCTGACAATTTTGTGTTTGCAGATACGAACATTTATAAAAGCACAGATTTATTGAAATGTTTATTACAATAGGCCTATAATTCACTTATACTTTTTTTGCTGATTCTTTCCCCTGACATTTTATTCCTCTTTATTTTTCTATAGGCAATATTCAGCTGACAAATTTATATACTTTAACATTATGACTTTTGGAAGTTAATTATGTTTATCCCATTTCACTAAACGCCTTTCTGTAACCTAACCAACACTGATTGCATTTGGTTATGCTACCTGGTAAATGACCAGCTTGTTACCTAGCAAACATCTCAATCCAACCAGTAAAAAAATGTAAAAATACCATCTGGAATCTGAAGGTCCTATTGCAGATGTAGTGGTATTCATGTTTCCATGTCATCTGTATGTGATCTAAGTCTGTCACTCACCAGAGCTGGATGGACTCAGGGACTTCCTGGAATTTGACCTGAGACTTGTGGTTTAGCAGTTTTTTGTGCTCTAAATCACCATCCCATAGCTCAACTATGCTGTTAGATAGTTATTTAAATATAAAATTGCTTGTTTGTTTTATTTTTATTATTTATAGGTTAAAACTGGAATAAGGTTATTAAGAAATTAATATAATTTTTCATTTAAAAGTATTAAGCTAGACTATAATTTGGTTATTACAACTTTAACTTAAAGTTTAAATTATTTATATTTTTAAATTTTAGAAATGCATTGAATAGTTGGGAATTTGGCTAAGCTGGCATATGTGTTTTTTTTTATGATTTATCCTGATTTTTTACAAATTGTCCATTGCATTTCATCTTTTGATTGGTGTTGCCTTTCTGGAAATGGAGGTTGATAATTTTAATATTGTCTTTGACTGCAATGTAAGGAACATTGCAGATGAGTGTATTTTCATTTTTTTTAATAATGTTGATCAGAGAATATAAGTAAATACTATTATAGAAATTTTTTTAACTGAAAACTAATGTGTATAAATGTTTTTTTTTTTACACCTTTAAAGGATTGTTGCTTATTATTAGGTTTCTTTTATTTTGTAATTTGAAACAAAATCTCTCTTACATCCATCTTTGATATTGCTATTTTTTTATACAATGTTGTTAGAAAAAAAATTATATTTCTTTAAACAATTAATTTCATGCTTTATCAGTGAGTAAATAAGTAAAAGTAAAATTCCCTTTTGAACCTAGCAACCCACATGTGTAAATAGTAAGTGATTTTTTACTATGAGTAATGCTTTTTAGTTGTTATATATATAAATATATTATGTATGTATATAAATCGCCATGTTAGAATAATAGGGTCCTATAAAAATACCTGTAAGATACCTAATTATGATGTCTTCATATGGTATTAAAATAATTTATTTAGAATTTACAAAAAGAATGATATAAAATTTAGTTCTATCTTGTTTGATTTAGCAGTAAATGACGTTATCTCTATTAACCAGAATACATATAAGTAGACGAATCAGAAAGCTGTACTAGGACTGCCTCAATTGTTTCTATACACAATATGGTTATGTCTGTAACAATATTAAGCATAAATACCAACAAGAATTTCAATCAAATTAGGTCTAACCTAAACCTTTCTTGTACACAACTTAAAATGGAAAACAAAAATTTCAAAAGATGTTACTATTAACGCTAACTAATATATATTTGATAGATAAGCCATAAAGCTTATAGTTTAACCATTATAGTTATATCTGTTAAATATTAAATTTTAGTTGATGTATATTATAAATTTGTACTCTCAATTTCTTGTAAACATACCAATGAAAAATATTTATTTCCTATTATTTGAACCCTAGTGATACTTTTTTCAAAATGTACTGATGACTTTATAATAAACTTTATAATAAAAGTAAATAATATGTTCCTGAAAATTAGGTGATAAATTGTACATTAAAATTTTTAAATTTTGGGCTTGTTAATGAATCAAATAATTGCTTAATTATGCCAGCATTCAAGCTTTTAAAATGTATGTGATAATTAAATATACTACACTGAGAGTCCTAACACCAATTTTTAGTAATTGTATGCTTATTGGGAAACATTGTAGTGATAAATGATACATAAATAAATAGACCCAGAAAGTTAAAAATATGGTTTTGGCTGCTGTTTAACATTATTTAAAATGATGTGTGTAAGTGACTTCAAAATCATAGTTTAAGACAGGCATCTCCAAACTATGGCCCGCGGGCCGCATGCGGCCCGCAAAGTCCTCTCATCCGGCCCGCAGAGATCTTTTTGTCTAAGAAAAAATCGTTTGTTAGTGATGGTTGAGAAACTTTGCCCAGAAAAATCAAAGACATGCGTGGAAGAAATTGGCCCCCGAACTAAAATTTGATAGTTAATGCGGCCCTCGGACTGAAAAGTTTGGAGACCCCTGGTTTAAGATATCTAAAAACTAAATTCAGAGATAAAACCTTATAATTTAAAATCAGATTTAGAATTTCAGTGTGGAATATTAAAGTAACATTTTGAAATAAAGCCCTCATACTTTAAAATAACCACATATTGAAAGTATAAAGCAAAGAGAAAAAAAAGAATGTTTGCATGTAATGAACAGTTCAGACAAACAAAAAATAAATTTAATATGAAGATTTATGGATCCCTATTATTTTAAAATGGCCATATATACACATATATAATGTTACTTGCCTTACATTTATTATTTCTTTAAACATAAATAATTTTTGTGTGTTGGGTTTGTATACATAGGAAAATACCATGTAACCAGTTGTGTTTTTTATTATTAATTTGTTTTTAATTCTCCCATGTTTTTGCTAAATAATTAGTAATTTAGTAAAATGTTTTTGAATCAAAAGAGTTAAAAAAAAATAGAAGTTTATTTTTCTTAATCTTAAAGATAAAATTGTGCTTGTCTTGAATAACTTTTCATAATTTACCTTTGAAATTTTTCTTAGCAAATATATTATACTATTATTGAGCAACAAACTTGGTGACTTTAAAAAGAATTAACTTTTAATGTAAGCATTTTGTACAAATTTGACCAATTCACTCTTGAAAAGCAAGCTTCTGAAATAAATATTGTTTTACTATTCAAGTTTTACATTTAATGTTTATTAGCATTAGTGACAAATAAAATATTAAAACTATTGTGGTGTCTTTTTAAAAAAAATGATTTGCCTGATTATGATACATAGGATAAATGTAAAGCTATGATATGCATTCTGCACACCTTAATACCCATGAAAAAGCTAATTGAAAAAAAAAATCATTTGATGGTTAATTGCTCTTCCTTGACATCTTTTTAATTTCATTCTTTTAAGCATATTTTCATTGAAGATGTTGATGGATAGGGGTAATCATAAAGACCAATTTGTTTTAAAACCTTTTTCAAATGTAGGCCTAGAGCTTCCAGTGTACTTTTAAAATAAAGTATCACAGGCTGTGTGGCTGTGTAGTGGCCAACACTAAGTTTAATGAAAGATTAAACGTAAGTTATGTACTGTGTACAGATCAAAGCTGGGTGGAACGTTCCACTGATTAGAACCCGGATTTGAGCTCGAGACTTTCGGGTTAGCAGGCTAACACTCTACATCTAGGCAACGCTGTCCCAGTCTTTAAAGTATGCCAAATAACCACTAAAATTTTGTTTTTACAAGCTTTGCTTCCTCCCAGTAGCGTAGCGAGGGGGGGGGGGACATATGTCCCCGGGCGCCGACCTTAGGGGGGGAGCCAAATTGAAAGTTTGAGGGGGGGGGTGCAAATGAAAAGTTTGAGGGGGGGTGCAAATCGAAAGTTTGAGGGGGGGTGCAAATGAAAAGTTCGAGGGGGGTGCAAATCGAAAGTTTGAGGGGGGGGGGGGGTGTAAATGAAAAGTTCGAGGGAGGGGGGGTGCAAATCGAAAATTTGCTCCCAAGGGGGCGCCAAATTGAAAGTATGTCCCCGGGCGCCGGGAAGGGTCGCTACGCCTCTGCTTCCTCCTCTGTCTTTTGTCGTCCTTCATGAATAGAAACTGGTGAGCGAAATTTCGACCACTCCTAACCGACCAATTTCTCTGAAACTTTCACTAGGCCTTACTAGGGTGTTGATTATTTATTTTTTTTACTCTTTTTTCAAAGTAAAAATTGCGACGTAACAATTCCCCCCCCCCCTCCTCCCTCATCAAACATCGTCACAAAGCACAAAAGTCAGATTCCCTACTCTTCTCCCCTTGGAAGATGACGTCGTGTATTCGGCAGGCCTATAAATAATCTAGACTATATTATATGTGACCGTTCTTCTTACCCAATCGACTAAGGGTATTTCCGATTTTTTTCTAGGAAAGTTTTATTAATCACAAGACACGTAGAAATCTAGATCTACATTTTTAGTTCTGATAGTATGGTGATAGTGTTGATGAAACATTTTGTTTTAGTGTCGTATAGTCGTATAAATCTAGATCTAGTTACTAGTATTACTAGAATCTAGTAGTAAAGTAGTTAGAGTTTAGGTTTACCCTACCATTAATTTTTCATTAAAGTTGGGACTCAGTGTCGTTGCAGTTTAGAACTAGACTCTAGTAACTAGTAACTAGATTTAGTAGTTTAGGTAGAGCTAATAATTAAGTTATTAGATTCTAGAGTAAAATCTATATCTAGATACATTAACAATAACATACATAGCATTCTAGAATACTAGATGTCATTGGTAGAATCTAGATCTAGACCTAGAATCTAGATCAATTGGCCTGCCCATTCTACTCAATCAGCATAGGGTCTATTGAGCAGTTAGATACGAAGATAGGCCTACATAACTTACTATATATAGCATCTAGATCTAGATCTGTATATAAAAAAATAGGCCCAAGACTACACATAACAGCAGGGGTCTCCAAGCTACGGCCCGCGGGCCGGTGGCCCACGCACGAGGTCCTCTCGTCCGGCCCGCGGATCAGAGTTTTGTCCAGGCATCTCTTCGGGGTGGCAGAGCCCCCCCGAAAAAAATTTACCCCCCCCCCCCCCCCGAACAAAATGAAATTTATATAATTTATATATAGAAAATATATACTTATACTTTTAACAGTGTCCGCCCCTCCCCCCCTCCCCCCGAAGATAGTCTACCGCCCCCCCCCCCCCCCGGAGAAAAAAGTCTGGAAGAAACACTGCCGCAGATATATTTGCAGACATTGATGTAAACATTGTGACTCAAATAGTGAAAAACGCAAGCAAGTTTCGCCATTTTTCAATTGCAACTGATGAGTCGCTGGACCTCTCAACTGCTTGTGTTCATTAGAGATGTGGATGAAGACTAGAAAATAACACAAGAGCTGGCTTCCCTACATAACATGTATGGCACTGTTATCGGATAGGATATATAAAAAAATTGCTGATTATAACTTGGCCTGGACTAACTTCAGTTACTGGCTGTTGATGGAGGAAAGTACATGTGTGGCATAAAGAAAGGTTGGTTGGACAAGTAAATGAGAAAAACATTCTACAATCAATGTCCCTGCACTCTATTATTTACCAGCAAGCTTTGTGTACTAAAAATGTGGACATAAGCAGTGTACTGAATCTTGTGTTGTAGATGGTGAAATTAATAAGGTCACATGGGCTCATCCATAGATAATTCAGAGACATGTTGAAAGATACAAACACATAATCGCAAGAATTACCATATTTTACAGCAGTAAGATGGCTAAGTTGTGTGATATATACATATATATATATATATATATATATATAAATTTAATATCGTTGGGAGGGGGAAAACGGTGGGGGTGGGGGGGGGGGGGGTGGCTCTGCCACCCCGAAGAGATGCCTGGATGCCTGGAAGACACTTTGGCCCCCGAACTAATATTTGATAGTTAATGCGGCCCTTGGGCTGTAAAGTTTGGAGACTCCTGCATAACAGCATAAGAGAAGACACAATTAATTAAACTACCAAGCCTAGCATTTTTATTTATTTAGGCCTTATATTATATAATATAATATATATTATATATCTATAGGATAACAATCACAATGAATGACAGAAAAATCAAATGCAAAGACCTAGATCTAGGCCCTGTAGTAAGTATCCTTCTTAACTTACTACAAATGGTTAAAAATAGTGTATATCTAGATCAGTGGCACCCCGGAAAATACGGAGCACGTCCTTCAGGAATGTTCTTTGTATAGCCAGGAGCGAGTCAGACACTGGCCCCTGCTCACCCCACTCAGGGAAAAATTATATGGGGAACCTGCTGAACTGGAGACCACAGTCCGGTTTTTTCACGAAGTTGGACTTGTTGTCTAAATCCTCCACCATATTCTCAATTAAGAACGAAGAAGAAGAAGAAGTAGATCAGTGGCGTAGTGAGGTCGGGTGTAACCTGGTGCGGCACTTAATGGTTTCACCTCCCAGAGGCGTAGCGACCCTTCCCCGGGACAAACTTTCAATTTTCGATTTGCACCCCACTCCTCCAACTTTTGATTTGCACCCCCCCTCAAACCTCAAACTTTCGATTTGCACCTCTTAAAAGACTATTTAACACTCAAATTAATCACCTAATTAAGTGGAGTTATCATTTTTCTCTATATATTTTGTTATTTTATGCCTTGGTGTCACCCCCCTAAATGGTGTCACCCGGTGCGGTCCGCACCCCCCCGCCCCCCCCCTTGCTACGCCTCTAATCTAGATCTATGTATGAGAACTAGTGACTACTATTCTTATTATAATAATACCTTTTATATAGCCTACACCCCTATTGGTCATCCATACAGATATATGAGATGAGACTTTTTGAATAATTTTTACATCCTCTCTCCTAATACAAAAGATAAGATCACCCCACCCCCCCCAAAAGTCACCCCCACCCCAAATGATATTACATTTCTGTTTCAGCCTAACACCCCTTCAAATTGCAATTTTTTAAAAGCAGGGGAGATAACTAAATAGTAGTGATCACTCAATCAGGTTGAGGATTGTTGTTTACAAATATGAAAGGCGATCACAGAAGATGCAATAATAAGGGCTCAAAAAGATTATTTATTGGTAATGATCAGGTTCAGATTTTCTTTCAGACATGTGTGGGGGAGGTGCAGGTTTTAATACAAATATGTTAAGTCAAGCAGGTTGTCAAGTTAACATTTATTATAATGACAAGATCTTGAATAAATACTGCACTAACTGCTTTTAAAATATTGATTTACTTTTTCATTTTTATAACTTCTTGACACTGAAAATACAAATTAAAACAGCTGTAGGCCTTCTATAAAAATAAAAAATAAAACCTGGTTTATAATAACAAACTTTTAATTGTATGAAAGCAGGGAAAATATTTTTTTTTCTTTGTGAACAGCATTGGTTCCCTAACAGTTTTAAAGAGATTCTATGAGCATTACTGCTTTTAATATTGTGCTTTTAAAAGCCTGTAATTATGTAAAGTTTTTTTCTTTTATTCTTTAAGTTTTGTTATAACATTAAGCTCTTATTGGTAGGCCTATAGGTTCTATATGAAGGGGGTCATTACGCTTATGGTTTGTGTCAATCTTTACAAAAGGAAGTAAATATAGAGTAACCTTCTGGTTATATTCAAAAGCATGTAGATCTAGGTTGCTTTTAAGTATGACGCATTAATTCAACATGTATTGCTATTCCTACCATGGCCATAATGTGGCTATTAGGAGGCTAATTATAGACCCAATAGCCTTAATCCCTTAACAAAATTAACTTGTGCCTTGGGGGCATCTCTAAATGATGTCACACTCATAGAGGTAGAGTGGGGGCCCATAATTATGTGACAATGTGTGATGAGTGGGAGGGGGGGGGGGGGTTCAGATAGTGTGATGTCACAATTTTGCTTTTCATGACAATGTGTGATGGTGGGGAGGGGGAGGTCAAAATTCAAAATCTTCAAATAAGATCTCTCCAGGGCCCTGAGAAATATAAGTGTCTGAAAGAAACCCTGAACATGCACAGAGACCTTCAAGATTCAGGAATAAAAAGGGATATAAGCTATTCAAAAGTTATTAATTCTATAGGACTATTATTTGTAGTGATTTCTAGAAATATAGCAAAATAAAAAATAACACTAAAATTTTACAATATCAAGATTGAGGCATATTGTTTTTAAAAAATGTTTAAATACTGAGCTGCTGGAGTCTTATCAGTAGTAAATAATCAGGTATTTTAGAACTAAATTCCCTAGAGCCATTTTTAGATTACTCTCATCTTTCTCCTTAATGAAAGTTTTGAAATTCTAATATGGTGTCATTCATTTTTTCAGATCGAGAGTTATCAGATTACTCTAAGCAAAAGTGTCAAATCAGACATAGAAGTTCTAAAGCAAATTTCCCAGTTTGGTTTCAAAATTGTTGAAGTTGATCCAATTGTTCTTGAATCTGAATCATTTCCAGATAAATATATGATATCAAAATTAGTTGATGTTGTAAGTAGAAATTTGGATAAAGACCACTCAAAAATAAAGAAAGAAGATGGCAAGTTGAACAAAATAATTAACAAAAATGAAACTGCTTCAGAAAATTCATCAAAAATTGTTGAAGAAAGAACTCAAAATGCATGTAGCTATTTCTACCATAAAACAGATGAGTTAGCTCAGCTGAAGGAGCATGAAGCTGGTGATGTTAAAACTTCACAAGATTATTTTTCTTTTAATTCTGCAAATAAAAAATTGTCTCTTGACAAAATAGTTGGATATAAATTAGATAAACCATTAGGTGAAATTAACAATGCAGGTACAAGTAACCTATATTTTAGTCATGCAGGTAATACTAAGAATGATAATAAACAATCAGACAAAGAGATCCAAAAAGATAACTTCTCCTCTTTTAAAAAGGAAAAAGAATCTGACACAAATGAAGAAGTAACTCTAAATCCTATGTCAATGGATGAGGATTTATTTGAAGCTGCAAAATATTACTTTCAAGATACAAAATACTCTGTCTTTTTTGGGAAAAACTGTGAGTTGAAAATTATATCTAACAATGAAGAAGCAAGAGATTTTCTGTGTAAAATTAAAGATTTTAAAAAGATTGAAATAAATGTCTCTGGAAACATAGACCAAATATTAAGTTACATAGAAAAGAATCATGTGAATGTAAAAGCTATGTCTAATGCTTCTACTTCATTGGTCATCATGGGTCAGAGTAAGGATGTTCTTGCTGCTCATAGAAACATTTTATCTCTAATTGGCAACAGAGATCATGAATTGTTCTGGTCAGCTAGGTCTGATGACAGTGGAAATCACAAGTATGAAAAACATTTAGAAACAACATATGAAGATGAAAAGGATGGTGACATTCAACAATCCAGAAGCAAAGATTTGTCAACCTCTGATGTCAAATACAGTTCTCAAAAATCTGAGTCAAACCTTAATGTAAATTCACAACAAAGTGATGGCAGAACAAAAGACAAAACCATGAAAAGTTTACTACCTGATGATAAAAGAAATCAGCCCCAAAAAATAGGAAGCAATGCACCATTAAGTGAAAATCTGGGGCAAAGATATACAGTTACATCAGAATTTGGTAATAAAAAATATGTAGGGGAATCAGGATTTAAAGTCTACATATACGAATATGATATTACAAAAGTTGAAGTCAATTGTATAGTTAATACATCTAATTCTTATTTACTAAATAGCAAAGGGGTTTCTAATGCAATAGCAAGAGCAGCAGGCCCAGCTTTAGTTGAAGAATGTCAAGAATTTATCAAAGATGGAAACGTTGTTGTTGTTACAGATGTTTTTGTTTCTGGTGGAGGAAATTTGTATGCAAAGAAAGTCATTCATGCAGTTGGGCCTAACTGGGAGGATTATGAACCTGATAAAAAGCATAAATGTGCTGATGATTTAAGGAGAGTAGTTCTTAGATGTCTAGTACAAGCATCAGCTATGAATATGGTGTCAATTGCCTTACCTTCTATAGGTTCAGGTATGTTGTAAAAAAAATTAATCTATGTCATAAAATGCAACTAAAATGCTAATGTTCCCTTTGTAAGCTAGCTGAAAATATGAGTATTTTAGCTTTATATTATAATTCTGGGCATCTCTCTTATTTTTCTTTTTCTCCAACTAATTGATTTATTTCTAGCTTACATCAAGTTTCTTCTTCAGTTTGTGGGTGATCTCCTTCTTTTTTAGGGATTCCTTTGCATTGGTTGTCTTGCAATGATCTGCTTAACTCTCCTAGGCATGAGTATTTTTGTAATCTCATGTGTTACTTTGTTATACAGTAGTAGTTAGATTAACCAACCAAATATTATAGTAAAATGTGTAGCTCATTGTCATTTCTTCTTAATCATTTTTGCTCTCTAATGAGCATAGAGAAAAAGCTTCATGTTGACAATGAGCTCATTTCACATATAGCTTCTTAATTTACAGTGAATCTAGTATCTTCAAAATTTATTTTTAGCAAAACTTACAAAAGTAATTTTGGTTTTTCTTAAGTTTTAATTCAGGCAGCTGTTTTATGAAAAAGGCAATAAAGATCGTGTCCTATCCTCTTGCACATACATTTAAATATTTCACTTTATACTGGAATTGTCATCTATCTTCAATATTTGCTGTAAAATTACCAAAGGATTTTCAGTGTAGGCCTATATTGTATAGAAGATTTAATGTAAAACAATAATATTTGATAGTTCTTTTATCACTTTGTAGAATACAAAACTAAAATAAAATACCATTCATCATAACAGTTTAAAGCTTTTTCAAATGGGCTTTCTACTAATTTTCTAACTATTTTGACATGATAAAAATTTGATATGACATATTGAATAATGTTTTCAAATTAGAAATGAATGTATTTAAAAAAAAAGTTGTTTGCTTTATGTCTTATTTTGTCCTCAGGAAACCTCAAAATTCCACCACACGTTTGTGCCAATAGCTACTTAAATGCTGTGAAAAGCTTTGACATTATTGCAAAGAAACTGGATTTGCGTTCATTGCAAGATATTCATTTTATTGACAAAAATGTAGATATGGTAACAGCTGTTGATGGCTGTTTTTTAGGAAACTGGGAAAAAAATAATCCAAGGTTAGAAATTGTAAATAGAGATTTGGCTTTTGCTAGAAGACATTTAGAAAGGAACAGGTATGAACAAAATATCAGATTCTTTGGATCTCCACATACATCAACTTTCTCTAACTCACCACAGTCTGAAAGATCAGAGAAGTGTAAAGACTATCTGTTCGGAGAAGTTAACCTTAGAGTCAGCACCAGATATGCCATGGATTTTAATACTGACCTGGTTGTCACAGTTGGGGAGCCATTCAAAAAAATCAGTGGAATGTCTCGGTTTGAAATAAAAAGAAGAAAAATTAGCCCTGGGAATAAAAAATTTGATTTTCTCATATACGAGTGTGAACGCAAACATTCTCAATTTGTTTGTGAACTTGAAATGAGTTCTGTGACTGATGATAAAATTGTATCTGCTCTCCGTAACTTGAACTCTGCTGTTTGTAGTTATCCAAACCTTGTAGAATCCTTAGCTATTACCAGCAAATTTCTCTACCCAGGTAAGAAAAATGTGTAACATTCAATTCATACCAGTGTAAAAAATCAAAAGCAAAATGCTATAATTTTGCTACAACAAAAAGAATATGATGGTCAGTGTAAAAGTTTAAAGAAATGAATACTATGGACTGGTTTTCATTGAAACACATTTGTAATTTCCCACTTTAATCCTAAATAAAACAAAGCTGATGATTAAGTGCTAAAGCTTTATTAAACAATTTGTGTTTAAATTATAATTTATTCTGATCTTATATACAAAGACCTTACGTTACAATATTGTGTACTGTTTTTTTTATACTTGTTTCATTTATTTAAATAAGCATTCCTTTTTTTTTGTACCTATTTAGTTTCCCCTCAAGTATATTAATTTATGTTTTAGAAAAATGTTACCCAATCTGTTAAATAACTAATATAAACTGATTAATTTTTTTATAATATTGGACTGAAATTTATTTTTTTCATTACAGTAAAAAAATTTACAACCAAAAAACAACCAGATTCTCAAATAGTAAAATTATTCTCTCACCTGGTGTATGAATATGTGACAAACATTCCATTGGAATCATTTCTAAAGGAAGTAATCATTTCAACAAGTGAAGAAGCTTATCCTATGGTTATAGAAGAGATTGATACTTTGGAAGAAAAGAACAAGCCACAAGCTTCTGGTGGTTAGAAACTAGTTTTTATAATAATATTTATTGCTAGGAATGTTTCATTTGGACTATCATTTTTGTAATAATATGTGTATCATTTGTTGTCACCTGAATTTTGCACTATTACATGCTGAAGCAGTAAAAAAAAAGCTTTAAAAGTTTACTGTAATCAAAGGTATAATAGATTGACGACAGAAGCCTGTGGTTGTATATAACAGTCTTTATTATGTACAGACGCCATGATGCGAAGAGAGAGAGAGAAGTGGCCAGAGACCACTATATATAGATAACAACATGTAAGGGACATCACTCAAGATAACAATATAAATATAATACTAATACAGAGAGTGAGTTCCCTTGACCTCACAATTATTTCAATCTATTACATCCCTTTACCCTTAGAACACAATAACACATCTCTCAATAGAACAATTGATAGTATCCTAAAATCACCAATTATATTGTAACATGAACACTATGGTAGATTACATCCTTGCAAACAATGCACAATATGCTACAACATAATCAAGATACAAAACAATGATGTCAAAGTCCTTTTGACCTTTAGAATCATAGGTCTAACTTATTTGGGACTTGATTGTCCTGCTTGACCTTCTCAGTGGCTTCTGATTTGGTGACTCAAGATTCTGACCATCTGGATTCTCTATCTCAGGAGGTCTAGGATTTAAATCATTAACTCCAGAATTTACATTTTCTGACTCCAGACAACTTGGTTCACTCATATCAACAGAACTTGGTTGTGTAACAACTGAGTTGGTGTGAACTGATCAGACTTGGTGGGATTGACAGATTCACACTTATTATCTGCACAAGTTATTTTTAACTTTATAAGGCACAGGTCCTGTACATTGAACAATTTGACCTGGTATCCATTTTTCCTTTTTCCCATAATTTCTTAGATACACATTCTCATTAACACCAAATTCTCTTTCAATGAATGTTTTGTCATGATTTAATGGAACTATTTTTGAATTGGCATCTGAAAGTATTATGCTATTATTCAGATCCTTGACTGACATAGATTTCTTTGATTGATCAATTTCCTCAGGTAATCTGATAGTGCTTTCCTGGTAACCAAACATACTGTTTAAAAGTAATATCCTGGACAATATCACTTTGCAACTGTGATCCAGTATTTGAAGTGGGTGTATTCAATGGCAAAAATCTTTGCTCTTTTCTTTTGATGTTACCCTTTTAGTTTCTGTAAGTGCTAATGATGTTAGCAAAGTTGTTTGATGATCACATTCTTTCTTACTAATGTATTCTCTTTAAAACATTTGAAATTGCCATATCACCATAATCATTTATTAAGTTATAAATACTTTGTTTAGGCAACTCTGACTGGTAATGGACTGCATCTTCTCCATCTTTTATATTATCTTCACAAAGGTTTTTATTTCTTAATTTATATGGCCTTAAGTCCTCATTCACTGACTCTTCAGGCCAACCATTCTTACAGTACTCATATACTTTTATTAAGCACTCATCTTTTTGTGTTTCTCTTTTAATATCATTCACATTTATATTGGAGTTATCCATGATAGTGAAGAGAACAAATACATCTTCTGGTACATAGCTCAGGCTTTGGTTTTTTAAAGGTAATCTACTAAGACTATCTGCACTATTCTCAGATCCAGGTTTGTATTTCAATTCATAATTGTATGCAGTTAGTGTGATAGCCCATCTTTGAATTCTTGGTGAGGCATGCTCAGGTAGGGTTTTGTTTTCTCCAAATAAACCTAGCAATGGTTTATGATCTGTAAAGATGGTGAACTTCCTACCAAACAGAAACTTATGAAATTTCTTAACACCAAAAATGATGCCTAAGCCTTCCCTATCTAACTGAGAATAATTTTTCTCAGCCTGATTCAAAGATCTACTGGCAAAAGCAATGGGTCTGTCACCCTTCTCATCCACGTGGGACAAGACTGCTCCTACACCATCTGGTGAAGCATCACATGTTAATATAAGTCTTTTCCCTGGGTCATAGTGAGTTAGTAAGGTGTCAGCAGACAAAGCCTCTTTTGCTGTATTAAAAGCAGCTTCTTGTTGTTTACCCCAGTGCCAAGTTGCATTTTTCTGTAGCAGCTTGTACAGTGGTGATAGTTTACCAGACAGATTTCCTATGAACTTTGCATAGTAATTTATTAAGCCCAAAAAAGCTCTTAGTTGTTGGGTATTTTCAGGTTTGGGTGCTTCTTTAATGGCTTTTGTTTTCTCAGGTTGAGGTCTGATGCCTTGTTTGCTTAATATATAACCAAGAAAACTAATTTCTGTCAACATGAATTGACATTTATCTTTGTTTATCTTTAAACCTTTTTCACCAACAATTTTCAAGACTTTATCTAGTGTTTTAAGATGTTCAGTGTCATTCTTACCAGTTATGTACACATTGTCAAAGTAAACACAAACATTTGGAATGTCCTTAAAAATACTGTCCATGACAGCTTGGAAAATTCCAGGGCTAGATGATATGCCAAAACATAGTCTTTCATATTGGTAGAGTCCTTTATGTGTGTTTATTGTCGTATAGACTTTTGAATCTGGATGCAGTTCTAGTTGAGTGTAAGCATGACTAAAGTCTAATTCAGTGAATTTGTCTCCTCCTGCCAAATTCAAAGAAATTTCCTCAATGTTAGGTATAGGGTACCTATTTAGCTCTATTTGTTTATTCAGTGTAGTTTTATAATCTCCACAAATTCTTATAGAACCATCCTTTTTTAACACCGGCACAATGGGTGTCGCCCAATCGGAATAGTCTACCTTCTTTATAATGCCATTAGATTCCAATCTACTTAGCTCATTTTCAATTTTATTCCTCATTGCATAAGGTGGAACTCTAGCTTTGCAGTATCTTGGATTTGTGTCTTTAATGCTTAACTTCACTGTTCTATCATTTAGTAATCCATGATTACCAAAAACACATTTATTTTCAGATATTACTTTATCTAGTGAAGTAAGACTAGATTCTTTTACATTCTTCAATGAACAAATACTCTCCCAATTTAACTTAAGATCACTTAACCAGTTCCTACCTAGTAATGGCGGTCCATTTCCTTCAACCACAAGAAGAGGAAGTTTAACACTTTGACCATTATAACTTACATGAACCATACACTCTCCTATTACCGGAACATTGTCACCAGTGTATGTTGTTAGACACTTGTGACATGGTTGTAGAGGCACTGATCCTCCTGCGACAGCGTCAAAATCTTTCTTTGTTATGACTGTTAGAGATGCTCCAGTGTCTAGTTGGAAGCTGATGCTCTTACCGTTGATATAAACTAGTACATTGATGGGAGCATGACTTATTGATTTAACAGAGAACAGGTTGAAATCCGGCTGCAAATCAATTTGAGCATTTTCACTGGTAGAGTGGTTCATTGGTTGGGTTAGGTAGTCTTGGTGAGAGTTAACATAGTGCTGCTTTTGGTTGCGGTACTGTCTTGACTGGCTAGATTTAGCAACAGACGAAGACTTTGCAAAGCAGGCCTTGGCAATGTGACCTTGCTTACCGCACTTATAACAAGTTGCTAACTTGAACTTGCACCGATGAGATGCATGGGGACCTTTGCATCGATGACATTTTTGATAATTATTACTAGATTTAGATCTAGTATTTGAACGAGCAGGGTGTTTAGCATAAGTTGGAATGCTCTGTTGGGGTTGATGTTTATTGACTAACCTGCTGTTTACTGCATGGATCCCTGAAGGCGTAAGAGATTTCGCCGCATCTGATGACTGCTGGTATGAAGCTGCAAGTTGTATTGCTTTTTCCAATTTTAGATCTGACTCGAGCAGCAACTTTCTTTGAATATCAGGGCTGTTTACACCTGTCACAAACTTTTCACATAATCTGTCAGACAGCGTTTCTCCAAATTCACAGAATCTACTTAAATGACGTAAAGCAGCAACATATTCTAATATTGACTCGTTTGGTTGACGAGTCCTACTGTCAAATCTAGCTCTACATAAAAACTTTGATGGGGTAGGCGCATGGTGGTCTGTTAGCAATTTGCTCAGCTCGTTAAAGCTCTTGGTATCTGGACTAGCTGGTGCGCATAAGTCCTTTAGTAGCCTAAATTGTTGAGGCCCTATGACTGTTAACAAAACAGCTCTCTTTTTGGCTTCTATCGTCACGTCGTTAGCTTCTAGGTAAAAGCTTAACCTCTCTAGGTAATCTTGAATGATTTCATCATTCGCATCAAATTCTTTTATTTGGCCATACAGCGCCATAATTCTAGAAATAATTAGCTAATAAGCTCTAGCAAACCTCTTTTTTGCGTAAGTAGGTGCTCTTTCTAGTAGATGTTTATCCTTCGTCGCCAGTTATAATAGATTGACGACAGAAGCCTGTGGTTGTATATAACAGCCTTTATTATGTACAGACGCCATGATGCAAAGAGAGAGAGAGAAGTGGCCAGAGACCACTATATATAGATAACAACATGTAAGGGACATCACTCAAGATAACAATATAAATATAATACTAATACAGAGAGTGAGTTCCCTTGACCTCACAATTATTTCAATCTATTACAAAAGGCCATAGATATATTTATTATATGGTATTAGAAAACAAAGAAGATTGTTCAAAAAAAGGAGTCAATGTAAGAATCTAGTTGAATATTGAATTCTAGAAGTTATAATATCCTCTTTAAAATGAACATATTTATCAAACCTTGAGAGGTAGTGTTGAGATTTCACAGATATTTTTAGGATAGATCTGTGATTGTCATATCTAATTATCTATTCATCCTTTTTTTTTGTTTCATTTTGATTTCAAAATTAAATATATTTTTTTACTTTTGACCTATTTTAGCTGATGTTTTTTATTTTAACTTAATTTATAATTGATATTTACATCACTAGGTTCAACAGTTGGCGTTTTTTGCAATAATTGCAACAGATATTTGTATGAAATGCAAAGTCTTACTAGCCGTAAAAAGGACTTCTGCTCTGACTGCAAAACTAAACTAAAAAAACGCCCACTTGGCTTAAATCCTGGTGCTACTAATATCCAGCCATTAGGAGAAATGATTGTCACATACAGAGATGATCGACACTTACCTGGATATGAATCATATGGTGTCTATGAAATTGAATTCATTTTTGCTGATGGCATTCAAAACGTAAGAAATTGCAATTTATCCATTTTTAAATTTTAAAGCTTTTATAAAAAATAGGCTTTGATATAACAGTGATGCCCATTGTGGAAGCAATTTTTTTTTAAGGAAATTAAAACTCCTGCTGATCCATTTTAATTGACTAATGATTAAGTCTCATATTTGTGTTGAGTAAAATGGTGAGTCAATGTGTCACACTAGGATAATACCCCACCCCCTTGGCTAAAATACCCTAATCATTTTCACCCCCTCACACCTTAATTGTAATTACCCCACATGAGAAGGTCTATTATACACATGAAATTAATCTAGTTACATCAGAAAAACATGACAACAGGAATACAATGCCATGAAACAAGGATCACTTAGATAATTCTCTTTGCTGAAAGACTTAGGCTGACACAATTTTTACGCAGGATAATGACATTTTAAAAAGTGCATTTCATTCAGTTCTAAAATCCAATCCACACCAACAGTTGACCGACCAACATTACAAAAATAGTACCTGCTGTGTCTCCACATGAGCTAACAAACAAATGTAGTTTATTATTGGAAAGGGTACTGGCATCTCTTGGGGCAAAAAAAAAATCTATAATTTATATAGAAATATTAGAAATTATAAATATATACTTTTACCAGTGTCCGTCTTCTGGAAATATAACTTCCACCCTTCCCCTCAGAGAAAATGTCTAAGGGAAAAAAAAACAACTGGCATTTGGTTAGAAGAGATGTGGTAATTATTAGATGGTTAATGTCTAGCTGGTTATTGTACAATGGGTAAATGATTAGAAGGGTAAGATTAGAGGAAGGGTTAGGGTAATTAATACGTTTTAAGTCTTGATTATAACACAATATACAAATGTAATTATTAAGTCCTTCAAAATAGGCCTATGCATATGCACACTAGGCTTAATTAATTAGAAAACTCTCATGTTCCAACTGGTTACTTCAGCTTTTTCCTAGTATATGTAGCAATAATGTAGTCTACAACTTTTTACTAAATGTCAGTGACATAATAATAATAAGCAGTCATTTGACCCTCTGACTTCTAAAACAGTTTGAAATAAGAATACTGCTATAAAAATTGATTAAAATATTGCTTGTTTTTTATTTGAAGATTATAAAGTGTTGTAGAAACAGATTGAATTGTAATGTTAGAACAATATAATTCTCTTGTTGGAGGCCCTAGAAAACACCAAGCTGTAAGCGCGCCTAGCAGTCCCCTCTCTTCCTCTCTAGGCATATCGCTACCACCCCCCCCCTCCCCACATGGTCTGGTGAGCTGTGGTTAACGCTAAATGTTTACAATCGTAGAGACGGGTTTTGTGACGGCTATTAGGGGCAGATAATTTAGTTTGAAACGATTTTAAACTTAGGGGAGGTAACTAAGAGGAGGCTGCTTTTACGAGGGAGGGGGGGGAGTTGGGGGGTGGGGGAATGGAGGGTTTTAGTGTTTTAAAGCAAATATTTTCAGTGGCAGCATTGGTACTGTCGAATTCACAAATTATGACTTACTTAAAAGTAGAAAAAACAAGAACTAAATAGCGGCGTATGATACGCCGCGGGTCGGCTCGTTTACTAGAATCCAGTTGCTAAAAATACTGTTTTTAAAAAATATTTCTCCATAATTAATAATATTCAGTTTTATTAGTTAATTTTCATGTGACTGGTAATGTTTTATGGAAATTTTTTTATAATGTAAACCAAAAAAAAATTTTTGAAAATTTCAGTGTAATCATCTTGATCCAGGGAAACCTTATCATGGCTGCCATTCTGTGATAAGTTTTCCAGCATCACAAGAGGGATATGATGTCTTAAAATTATTGAAAGTAGCCTTTGTTCGAAAACTTGCTTTCACCATTGGGATTTATAAAGGGAAAAATTATGTGGTCCAATGGAATGGAGTTCATGATGTTACAAAGCTTTATTTTGACCAGTAAGTTATAAGTTAATGCATTTAAAATTGACTTTAAAAATACTTGCAAAACTGTAAGAACTTAAAAAAGTACATGTCTTAAACTGGTTAAAAATAATTTTTTTTAATTAAAAGTGCTTAGCTAGAGATATATAACAAGTTAAGTAATATTGTAGTAATTTTGTTTAGAATTGGTCAATTGTTCTTAGTAGGGTATAAAGAAAAATTCATATCTTAAGAAATACTTTTTAGTTGAGCATAAAAATTGGAAGAACTGTTAGGCCAAGCTATATCTTTAATTGGAGTATCTTAGAAATAGCTATGAGCAGGCCAAGATTATTTAAATTTAATTAGATGTACAGAATGATATCTTTGAATTACTAGCATGTTTTAGGTGTTATTGTTTAAGAACTACTTATCGATGTTTTATGTAATTGATATATAATTGATATCAATGTAAAAAGAATTGCCAGTAGTTCCTTTGATAGGATTTTTAGAATCTTAAGAGATCGCATGTTATTTTAATCTAGAATAGTTTGGGGTAGCTTAGCACAAGAGATGGGGAAATTTTCACATGTAAGCACTAGAATTCGTGCCAAGCACAGGGTATCTCCAACATGTCTGTTGCTGGAGTATAAAAGCGGTGGCTTAGCCTTAGAGAGGGAAGGAGAAAACAGACAGTACTAGCCACTAGGCCTAATTTATTGCAGCACACGTGTTGGCGTTATAGTCCACTTGGATGAGTGCTACACAGGCAATTCCTGCTAAAGATATTACTGTACTGTTCATATACTAAAATAATAGTTCAATTATTGGTGACGAGCAAGAAATAAGAAAAACATTACAGTATTAAAACTTAAATGAAATGCTGCAATAGTTCAAAGAGTAATCATTCTTTTATTTGTGTAGGCCCTATTACAAAATTTTTTATTTAACTATATTTGTACCTGCTACTATAGGTACAATTAAATACTAAAATAGCATGAAATTTATATATCTATATGTTATATCTATTAATGTAATATTTAAATTTTGAATTGAATGTGTTAAAATATTTCTCACTTCATTTCAGATCTGGAAAACCAGATCCAAATTACCTGACCAAAATAAAAGTAGAACTCATAAATAAAGGAATAAATATTGAACAGTTGACCATTGAGGAAGACAGTGAATTGATAAGGCTGGAACACCAACTTTTTAATAAATAGTAATTAAAAACAGATTATTTGAATTTTGAAAACAAGAAATATTTTTTTAATTAAAATTTAAGCTTGTATAGTCTTTATTGTCATCTTATCAACAATTATTGAGTATGACCATACTTAAAATGGGTGATTTTTTGAAAGACATTTTAATTAGTGTCAAAATGTTGAGCAGAAAGAAGAATATGAGCAAGTGAAATAAATCAATCTTAAACTTTCCAGCTAAAAATTGTGATAATTCTTGGACCACCTAAATGAAGATAATTAATTGTAAATAAAATCTTTTCAAATTAATAGGCTCTAATATCCTAGAAAAAAAAATATTTTTGTTCCTGTGTATTGCATTTAATTTTTAATTAACCATTTTTGGTTATTATGATAAGCAAAGACATTTTATTTAATTTTAAATTATTAGTTTAACCATTGTTGGTTATTACAAAAGTTTTTTTTAATATGCAAGATATTGACCATACCCATTAATTGATTACCCTGGCTCAAGTCTATCGGAGCGCCAGAGTCCACCCACCTCTAACTCTTGTAAGGGAAAGTAGAAGAGGCTGGGTATAATGCTGACCACACTAACCCTCAATATGAAGAGGTCATAGAAACTACTTTGATTTCATCTGACCCATTCACTACTAGAATAACCTACTACGTTATTAATTGATTGTATTGTATTTATTTATATAGCCCCGATTATTTTCATACCTCAACTAAATTAATTACCTAATATTTAAGAAAATATTACTGAGAGACTCTAATTTAATCCTGAAAGGTTTTATAAAAATCTTAAAAATGAATGAAAGTGTTACAGTTAGTTAGTCAATGTTTATTTTAAAAAGATTTAACAGTTGGTAATATTGATAAAAATGGCCATTGACTCCTTTATACTATGCGTTTGATATTTCATTTCTTATATTTAGATATACTTGTGCAGATTTCATTTTAATATCTGAAAATTATTATCTTTGACAAATAAAATATTGTATTTGATTGTATTTGATATTTTATAAGATTGCAGACATTTTGAGTCAATTTTTACCATAGCAAATACAAGGTTTAGGTGTATTTTTAGCAAATACAAGGTTTAGGTGTATTTTTATTCACTATATGTTGTATTTTAAAAATAATTATCTTTTTCATGCACAAAAAAAAAAGGAATTAAAAAAAACAGAACAAAGAAATTATGACTTTGTGATGGCTTTAAAAGAATATCATTAAAATGGATTTCTATGCAAAAATAAATTCCCTTACATTGAGTTGTAAAGTTGGTTGAATAGGGTGTATTAAACCTCTGTGTTCAATCATTTTAAACATTTTGTGAAGTTTGGGGTACAGGTAGAGGGGTATTTTTTTTAAATTGTGACCTATTTTATTATGCATACCTATTGAACATTATGAAGGTGACTGTAGGCCCTTATCAAATGACTGGCTAAATTTACAGCAGATGCCAATAGGCTATTATTATATGCCAAACTTAATATGCCCATTCAACTCTCAGAGTATAGTTGTAGTCACTGCATAAATGAATATGAAGGACTTGTATAAAAAATGTAGCCATTATTATATTATGTATGTCTAGTCTACGTCCTCTATCCAATGATGTCTTTGCCTTCAACATCTTCTCCCTTTTGACACAGTGCCCTGTTTTATTATTTTGGTTTGTGTGATATGCCCATACCATCTAAATCTTTCTTGTATTGGCTTTATTCGGAAGACTCTCAAAAAGACCAATCACATTAGTGATCCTTCCACGGACCTGTTCATCAGTTGTGTGATCTCTGTATGGGATACTTACTTATAAATTTTTTGAGTTCGCTGTTGTCGTTAGGACACCTCACGCAAGTATTTCTTGCTTTGGTGACAACTTTGGTCCCTCATCAGATAGAATGGCGCCAAGGTATTTGAATGAGTGAGCTTATTCCAATATTTGGTACGCTACCGTTTGATATATAGGTGTTAACTATAATAAAATGATAATATAATGAACAGTATTATATCCTCCCCTTTCCACTCCCCCCCCCCCCTTTCCTAGTAGTAGTAGTAGAACCCATTTTATATAGGCTCTTTATTACATTTTAAAAAAGTATCCCTGGCCCCGTAGGCCTAAATAATTATAATATAGGCCATATGTATACATATATACTTATTTCTTTGTTAGCCTTAATTGTTTAGAGTTAGTGAATGATTAGACAAACATTTTTATCTGTCTGACTTTTTCTACTATTTAATAACACGGCCGACCGGAAATTCCCGATACAAAAAAATAGAGAATAAAAAAGGCAATACGCTAATCGCCTTTTTAGCTTTAACACTACACTTAAAGTTACTATTTAAGTTTTTAATGTGTATCTAGACATAGATCTTCCTACGACATATAATTGTTGTAATCAATGTATATACAACTGATTTTAGAGACAATCCTCGTCTTTATCCATTTGAACTTAAATTTCACATCTAAAATCTATAAATAAATTGTTCAATTGAAAAATTTCCAAACAATTTCTTAGAAATAACTGAATACCGGAAGTTACTTATCTGCATAAATATACTCTACTAGATCTTTGCTAGATTCTAGACTAGATTTCCAGATCTAAATTTAGTAGTCTGGATTTAGAAATTAGACTTTAGTCTTTAGTAGTTATGAAGTGAAATCAACATAACAAACAACACAAGTGGATCAAATCTAGTCTCCCAAGAATGGACGAAGCTTCATATTGTAATGTCAGTAATGATGTTGATCCAGATCGAATAAATTTAGATTTAGATCTAGATCTAGATCTAGTACGTATTCTTCTACTTTACTTCTAGAGACTAGTCTAGAATTAATCTGTAATCTGTATTCTTGTACACTACATCTAAGATCTAGATGACAAGTCTAACTTTAAAAGTAATTTTAGTAATTACAGAAATATAAATATTAGGCCTACAGAATGTAAGAAACTAACTTATTATTATTATTATTACTAACTTTAGATTATCTCTAAACCAAATTTCTATTAAAGAGTATATTTCTGAAAATTATGTTGTATTTTATTTACTATGTAAATGTAAGTAGGCCTACTCAATTACATTGGTTGATATTTATTGTGTACACTGTAGGCCACATTGAGAATCGTCAAGAGGCAAAAATAGTTTTTTTCAAGCATCTCTTTGGGGGGAGGGGGCGCAGGGCACTGCCCCCTTTATCCTTTTAGTATGTCACATTGCCCCCCTCCCATCCCACCCCCCTCCCGCATTCCCACATAAAATAAATCCTTTCTTTAAAATTAATATAGAATATAATATTAAACTCTTAACCAGAGTCCGTCCTCCTCTTCAAGTGTTAAAAAAAATAATGTGAACTAGCTGTGTCAATTCATCATTTAATTAATTTCAATTAAAGAGCAGGAATTAAGCAAAAATATGTATGAAAGGATGGTATGGTCAAATAGTTGAGCTTTTTATGACTGCTTACCCAATAGTTTTGAGATCCGATCCCAGCCACAATCATGGAGGTGTACCTGATCCCATCTAGCCCAGCTCTGATGGGCACCAGACTCATGTTAGGGAAACTTAGGCTGCTAACCACACTATCTCCCTGTATGCCATGTGTCTTAGGCATGAAGAGGTGAAGATTATGATGGTGATTTTTAAAGAAAATTAATTGTTGCGCGATATAATACTGCTCTCTACCTTTAACTTACCCCTTATAACACAATATTTAAAAAATGATGATCCATCCACCTATGCACTTCATATACCTATATTTTAAATCTTAAATTATTGTTGTCTATTTCAGATTGATAAGTGTCAAATTACTTTAAGCAGACAGATTAAAGAAGACACAGAACTCCTAAAGCAGTTAACTTTCATAGGATTCAAAATTGTTGATTTTGGTCCAATTGTTATTGAATGTGATTCATTTCCAGCTGAAAATAAAGTATCAAAGCTTTATGATGTTCTTAGCACAAGGTATAACATCCAACAAAAAAATACATTTGATAATCTAACTCTCTCAGTGGAAAAGGGTGATTTATCATCAAGACAATGCTATGACAATGAAGCACCAACAGGTTCACCTACTCCTGATACTCATTTGGAGCCAGATTCTGATGAATCTGAAAGCCTGGAAGATGAGAATGGAGCCAATCATAGCTCATTGCATGCAAAGGTAGAAAACCAGGCATCTGCAATGCTAAATCCATTATCAGTAATCAGAAAAGAAAACAAAGAAAACACAGCTACTGAGGAAAGTAAGACAAAGTTAGCCAAGACAAAAAAATTAAACCCAAGGGCCTCTGAAAATTGTGATCCAAATGATAGCAAAACCGCAAAACTAAAAAGCCCTGAAAGTAATACTTTATATCAATATGATGGAAAAGAGAAGACCGATTCAATTTATTTTAATCAACCAGCCAAATTTGCAAGTGAAAAATGTGTACAGAAACAAATAGAAAATGCAATGGAGGATGAAGATCTTTTAGGTACACAAGAAGATGAAATGATCTCTTATGGATGGGATTTTGAAAAAGTATCAAGTGCTGATGTATATATTCCAAGAAATAAAACACCACCTGAGGACTCAATCAGTAAAACATCTTCTTTGGGCGACGATTCTGATGATGATGATAAAGAAGAACTCTTACGCACTTCAAATCAAGAGAATAAAAAATTATTACAAGGAACTAGTGACAAAAAAGCTGACAAAACCAACTTCATTGCTACAGATGATACTGGTTTTAAAAATTCTGAGACTAATTCTTCTGAAGATGCTGATCCTAAAAATGAAGTTGAAAGTATGTCCTCACAACAGTCACATAGAGTTCAAGATGAAAAAAATTCTGACAACGACACTGGCACAGATGAAGAAGAAACAACACTTTTTCCCATTAAAAAAGATATCTTTGATGCTGTAGAACATTACTATAAAGATACACCATACATGTCCTTATTAAACATCACTGAAGATACAGATACTAGTTATGAATTAAAAATTGTATCCAACAATGATGACGCTAAAGATTTTCTGCTAAAAATTAAAGATTTTAAAAAGGTTGAAGTAGACATTGAAGAAAATATAGAAAAGGTTTTAAGTTACCTACAAAATAATTACCCAAATATAAAAACGTGGCAAAAAAGCAAAACATTATTAGTTATTATGGGTCCAAGTGCTGAAGTTCGTGCTGCTCAAAAAACAATTTTGTCTTCAATTGAAAACAAAGATCATGAAGCATTCAGCTCTCGTACAATTGATGAAGATCATTTCTCTAAGGAACATATGAAAGAAACTGGCCAAATTAAAGATAGCATTGATGCTCATCATGCAAAACACAGAAATACTTCCACTTTAAATGCAACTAACCATCCTGAAAAAGCTGAGGTAATATTGAATGTAAATTCACAACAAGGCAGAGAAGGATTAAAAGATAGAAGCATAAAACAGCCTGAGAAACTTTATGATGACCAACACAAACAACAAGCCACAAAGCAAGCCTACAAGGGAACATCGCCAGATGAAAAGAGAGAACAAAGACAATCAGATGAGTCTAATGCTCATGAAGCTGTTTATGTTGGGAGCTCTGGAATAAAAGTCTATGTATACGCAGCCAATATTACAGAAATTCAAGTAGACTGTATAGTCAATGCAGCTAATTCACACTTAAAACATAGAATTGGTGTATCCGGTGCTATTGCTAAAGCAGCAGGCCCAGCCTTAGTTCAAGAATGTGAACAGTTTATAAAAAATGGAAATTTTGTTGCAGTTACAGATATTTTTGTGTCTGGAGGTGGTGACTTATATGCTAAGAAAGTCATACATGCTGTAGGTCCCTGCTGGGATGATTATGACAGCGATCAAAAGCAAAAGTGTCTTGAGGATTTAAAGAAAGTAGTTCTAAGATGTCTTGTAGAAGCATCATGGATGAAAATGACATCAATAGCTCTACCTTCAATTAGTTCAGGTAAGTATTAATACCTAGTGATAATTTTGTAGCATCATAATGAAATTTGTTTTTCTTGAACACTGTTTCAAAAAATAATAAATGCAAAAGTTTTTCATATTTGAGTTCTTTTTAGGCAATAATGTGAAATACTAATTAAAAAAATGCTAACAAGTAGCTTATTATTAAATGTCATGATTAGTAATTGAAATGATTGTTTATCTTAAGTAATAAATGTAAGTATTGTTTATGGGGAGGGTTATCATGAGATACATCTGATAATTTTACACTGAAAGGATGTCCTTTGATTATGTTACACTGTTCCACTTAAAGAGAACTATTATTACTATTTTAGCTCTGAATTAATTACTTTCAACAGTGAATTATGCTAATTTAATTGTATTATAGACCTATAATTTATTTCAGATTATTTAAACTTATGTTGGCAGGTAAACATTTTATTATTTTTTGTATTTATTGTTTCAGCAATTTACAAAGTTCCAAAACAAGAGTGTGCAGAAAGTTATATGAATGCTGTAAAAAGCTTTGACGCCCTTGTTAAAAAAATGAATTTGTCTAGTTTGCAAGATATTCATTTTGTTGATATAAATAATGAAATGGTTTCAACTGTTGCTGGCTGTGTCTTAGAAAACAAAAATCAGGTCCTGACATCTGAAGCTTTAATTGAAGATTTAGCATTTGTTCAGAAACATCTGGACAGAAGTAGAGAATTGAATATTGGAAAAGAAGCATCTATTTTTCCATCAAACTACTACAACAACTATAATATAGGATTTTCCAGAAAAGTAGTAGAGCACAAAGATTATTATTTTGGAAAAACTAAACTCAGAATCAGCACTCAGCATGCAATGGACTTTAACACAGACCTGATCATTACAGTTGGAGAACCATTTGATAAACTCAGTGGGAAATCTAGCTTCAGAACCAGAAAAAGTAAAATTAATTCAGAGAGTCAAGAATTTGAATTTTTTACTTATGTGTATGAAGATAAACCTCCACGCTTCCTCTGTGTGCTTGGTGTAAATTTTGCACGTGATGATGAGATTGTAGCAGCTCTCAAGAACCTGAACTCTGCCATTTCCTGCTATCCAAACCTGGTTCAGTCTCTGGTTGTTACAAGCAAATTTCTCTATCCAGGTAATTAATTGTTTAATTAGGGGAATATAAATTTTTAAATTTCTAAACAAGAACAACAACAAAAAAAACTCTCTATTTGTGTGCAGCAAGTTCTTCGTAAACTTTGTTTTACTAATTTTTTTTAAAGAAAAAAGATGTTTTAAAAAGAATGAATTTGTAGAATAGCTAAATTTGTTAAAAAATCATTTTAGTGTCTTAAAAAAATTAGTGGTCAGCTATTTAAAACCGTTTTTTAAAACTATTCATCATTTCTGTGACATTAAATTCCAGGATCCTATCTAATATAACCCAAAGAAATATAATATTTTGGGCAACTTAATTCATCTTAGAAAATTAAATAGGCAATTAGTGATAATAAGGAAAACCTATTTGAATATAAATTTTTATTTGAAAGAAAACCTTTAAAATCAGAATACAATAGCTTTATTGTTATTTTGTATTTCAGAAAAAATTTTATTTTCAAGCAAGCAGCCAGATTCAAATTTAGTGACAATAATATCCCAACTTGTGTATGACTATGTCAAAAATGCTCCAAGAGATGCTGTTATGAAGACTGTATTAATTTCAACAAGTGATGAAGCCTTTTCTTCTATTATTCAAGTCATTGATACATTAGAGAGCAGTGGACAAGCAGGATTAGGAGGTAAACATAATTTTATTTTAATTTGTATTTTTTAAATTTTTAAGTCTATTTAATCCTTCGTTCCATGTATAAATAAAATTCCACATTTCAGAACTAATGATTCTTAGGGCAGATGAAGTAGAGTACCTATGCTCCTTGATTTCAGCATATAAAGGAATGGTGTGGTCAGCACTGCGTTGAACCACCTTTATTTTCCCATCAGAGCTGAGTGGACTCATGGACTTCCTGCAGTCTAGAGTCTGGACCAAGATCTGGACTTAATACCTGCAGGCTAACAGTCAAACAATTTATCACTCAGACTCCCATGTATATCTGTATGTTTATTGCACAAGTGATTGTGTAGTCAGAGACAATCTACCTCTGAAATCATTTTTGGGACATATAGCTGCTAATGATTCACTTTTGTGGTCAATTTGTATGTCACTTTATCAGAGATGATGTGGCAGATTTTAGAGTTAAAGCCTCTACTCTTCACAGGCTCCTCAGTTGATGACATTTGCAGCCATTGTAAAAGATCTGTAAGAGACTTGGAATTATTGCAGTGCTGTAAAAAAATATACTGCTTAGAATGTAGAGCAGAACATAAGAATTGTTCTCTTAGCCATAAGGCATTTTTCAGAATTTATACTGGAAACCAGCCAGATGGAGATATGATTGTGACAGAAAGAAGTGATCTACCAATTCCTGGATACACAACATGTGGTGTTTTCCTTATTGAATATGTTTTTCCTAATGGTGTTCAAAATGTAAGGATAACTCTTTAATGTATGATCCTTTTTTAAGCTTTAAATATTTATATATATATATATATATATATATATATATTATAAAAATAAATAACCAGAAAGTAATATCTTGTAAAAATTAATCTTAATAGAACATGTCTGGTATTTATAACAATGATTATAAACCATTAGATAATTATTCGGTAGGTGTCAAATAAATCTTTTCAATATAAATGTTAATACTTGCAGCAACCATTATATTAGTTGAAACAAGTAAATGTAGAAACAATTTTAAAAATGTAATGTAGTTTATTAAAAAATTTTTTTTAAATAGGCCTTCAGTTTTTTTATCAACATAACATAATTTGTAAATCTTTATTATAAAAAATTCCAGCAATTGCATCCTGACCCAGGGAAACCATATTTTGGATGCTACGTTGTGGCTTATCTTCCAACAACACAAGAGGGCTATAATGTCCTTCAGTTACTGAGAGTTGCCTTTCTTCGGCGTCTAACATTTACTATTGGATTCTATGGTAGAGATTATCATGTCAAATGGAGTGGCATTAATCTTTATCTTTATGACAACAAGTAAGTAAACATGCTATAGATGTAAACATAATATTGATTGTTTGGTAGATAGATAGGACCACATACTTGAAAATGTAAGCTTAAATGTTATTAAAAAAATGTAACACACAGCTAATGCTTTTTTAAAATATTTGGATAATCCATAAAAGTGACATGCTCTTTTTCAGAGATTGTTACCTCGCTCCGATCATTGTTAGACCACCCACAAGAACTGTCTCACTTAGCATAGCCTTCCCCCTCAAATCGACAATCTTTTTTTTTAACAATTTAATTCTACGTTATAAATTGAGCTGATTTGTTTTAAAATTTAAGAAAAGATGTAATCAAAAATGCTCTACAAATACAAATCCTCAACTTAAAAATTACTTTATTAAATGTAAAAATGCTGTATCACACTCTTAAAAACATGATGTCAATATTTTATGTTAAAAAATGTAGACAATTACAATCTTTACCCAAGCAGAATGTGTTACAAATATGCTGGGATGTATTGTTAATATATAAAATTAATACTTAGAACACAGTTCTCATTCTCATAGATATATTTAATGGAATAAACCAAATGATTTTTAAAAATTTTATACACAAAAAATTTAATTTGCCATGCAAATGTGTTCTTCCTTACAAATGTATTGTAGAAATTGTGTATAATTCTTAAATAATTATCATAATTCTTTTTTTTTTAAAAACCCACGTTTTCTGATTGAACTAAAAAGTAGAAAATAAATGCTATACATTACAATAATGCAAGCGATCACTCTACTATAAGGTTTTATTAGGGAGCTTGTAGAGAGTCAACAGTATTAGAAACTATAAGAAAATCACGGCGCCCCACGTTTTTCATTTTTTGTCATAATGCGCACTCAGTTTGCGATCGCTTATAGTAGAGTGATCGCTTGCATTATTGTGATGTATAGCATTTATTTTCTACTTTTTAGTTCAATCAGAAAACATGGGTTTTTTTTTTTAATTTTTAATGTTAATTATTTTCTACTTTTTAGTCTTTGTCTATTTGTTTGCATTCAAATCTTGTTATCGATTTTATCTTCTCGTATTGACTTTTTTTTTTTGGGTAAACCTAGACAACTCGTAAAAAACACGTGCCTTTTCCAATCAACGTTTCTTCTGTGTTGCCGTTGTTCTTGTTAATGCTTACATTTTAAAATATAATGTAGTTGTGGGTAAAGATTTTTACACAGAATAGAACTTATTCGATGGCTCATCTTGCAATATTTTAATAAATCTTATACTTGGACATGTGTTAATGATCTACAATGTAGGCCTATCCAAATTTATAAATTGTTATTATATTTTCAATTTCAGAACTGATTTGATAGATTCAAATTACCTGCCGAATGTGACAGCTGAGTTGAGAAGTAAAGGTGTTACCATGGATAACCTGACACAAGAGGAATTAGCTGACCTGGAAAGACTTAGGCAGTACTTGCACAGTAAAAAACGTATTTAACAAAAATAGTTGGGTTATTCTCCAGGTGTTTCTTTATTTTCTTAATCTTAGTGTTTCTGTAATCAATCTTTAAAGGTATTATTAAGAGTTATATCCTAAGTTATATGTGTAAACACTATATATTATTGAATAAATATTACCACAAAAAAAAAACCAGAATAAATGTAGTATCTCAGAAAATTGAGCAGAATTTAGATTTTAGATTCCAAGTTGTAAAGATAACATCCTGTTTCTTAGGTCCATCAGCTATTTGGAGAGATTTAAAATTCATAATTTAAAAAATATTATTTTAGTTTAAATATAATATCTTAGAAAAACACACCAGAAAAAATTAAAACCTGTAACTGGATATTAATTTTGATTAATTTTGAGATGCATGCATTGTTTGTAAAAATAATTTTGTTTTCACATTTTGTAATGTGGGGAAATATTGTTTTTATTAGTCTATAAATGTATTTACTAATTAAGTTAATCTAGAATTTTCTTTTAACTTTAATTAAAAGTTGTAATTAGCCAGTTTGAAAATATAATTGTTTATTGTAGTTTCAAATGTGCAAATACTAACCTTCAATTTTTTTTAATGACTTAATATTTTATGAAAAATATTTTTTTTTTACGTTATGTGATTTTAGAAAACATTTTTTTTTCTTAAACTCATGAAGTTCATGAAGTTGAAACTTAGAAAAAAAAACATGACAGAATTAACTTACAACTATTATAGGCATACTGTTTTAAAGTTTAAAGTATTTCTCACATTACACAAACTCTTCTGCCAACTTTATTTTTGCTGATTAAAAAATAAAAATAAAGGTAATTTTTTTTTCATTTTTGAAAACAGGTCTACTATAAATGCTTGGTGAAATTATTTTTTCTTTTCAAGATTATTACAGTCAGTATAAAAAAAATGCACTTTAAAAAAGAAGTGAATGTTAAGTGTTAAAAAGAACATTTATAAAAACTATTAAAATCAGTTTTTTTATTTATATTTTTTGAGTTATTTTATTCTTGATTCAAACTAATTTGTTATATACAATTGAATTATTTTAATTTTCTTCCCTGAGAATCAACATTGGACTGTTCATGTATGCTTAAAAGCACCATTCTAGTCATAGTTTTTTATAGGTTGCTAGGGTTTGCCATTGTTAAACTAAGTGTAAAATATTTTCCAGTTCTCCTTGTTTTTTTAAATTCATTAGAGGCAATATCATTGATGTTACTGATGGTTCTTTAAAATGCTATAAAGTAAAAATTGAACTGGTTTATTTGAAATAAAATTCTTTCTGAACAAAATTAATGGAATAAAAATTTCTTTTATGAACATTCGTTGCCTGTTTTAATACATTAATCTATTGCAGAGGAGTAGGCGAGTGAAAGTTGTTTAATGTTAACTTACAGCTATTGATTATTTTATAATCATCTTGCTCTCTGTTATAATTACAACGTTTTGAATTGCATAAAAACACAATTTTATGTTTTTTAAATGGTTGTTATATAAACATAAATAAATAAATAAATATACATAAATATATATATATATATATATATATATATATATATATATATATATATATATATATATATATATATATTTATTTATTTATATGTATATATTAGTGTAATAGCCTTGGTGAGGCTATAAAGTTTGATAACATGAAGTAATTGAGAGGTTTGTTTAAGGTTCTGATTCAATTTAAATCGCCAAAACTCACATTTGAGAGCTTTTCACCTCATATCTGCAAGGCGAAAAACCTAGTAATGCCATCACACTTTGGTGGCTATTGAGGACTTACCTAGGCCTGTATAGTGAGCGTGATGATGACCGTTCCCTGTAATTGTAGCCTATTGAACAATGGACCGCATAATTTTACGGAAGGTTACTGTTAGCATATATCATTACATGGACAGTTATCGGTAGTACAACGCTTGAAATAACCTGATTTGTGTCCTTTTAGTTAGGATGATAACGCATATTAATGTGAAGAATACAAGTGGTCAACATCATTTAAATCCGACACAATAAAACATTTTTACAGTAAAAAGACTTATGTGAAAGAAATAACAAAAATAACAAAGTTACCGAGCTCACACGCTCAAAAGTTGACCAAGAGCTTTGAAAATATGAACATCTTAACAATTGAAACACAAATAACTTATGGATTGATGCTCTGTGGCACTCTGGGAGAAAAAGCGAGGCGGAATTCAGAGCCCTACTTCCATTCCAGTGTATATCAGACTTATTTCTCCCGGCGGGGGTCGGGGGCGAGGGACTCTTAAATTTCTGTGGCGGGGTTGGGCGGACACTGGTTATAGAATACATTTTCTATATAAAATATTTTTTTTCTCATTCGTTTAGATCACAGTCGGTAAAGCTCATGGTTGCTAAACCGAAAAGTGATTTCGAACCCTCGGGCAAATTAGGCTCGTTAGCTGGGGACAGCCACTCTTCTAGGAGAGACAAGTTCAAATCAAACAACTGCTGCCTTGTACTTTGTTCTTGGTTGAACAAAGGCTATGAAAGCAAATCCAAAAAGAAAAGCAGGCTGAAATCGGAGTCAATGGTTGACACGTATACTACTATCCTTTAGATCCCTATTACCATTGAGAGCCCTACTATCATGTCGAAACAACGGGCTCTCGTTTTCCCGCTCTCTTTATCTTCCTAAACAAAAGGAGAATAACGACCGCTCTAAGCAATGGTAGGGACGGAGTAGCTTAGCGATAGAGAGCTATACTGCTAACACGTAAGCCTCGAGTTCGAATCCGGATTCAAGTCCACCCAGCTCTGATGAGTACCTAGCTTACGTTAGGTGCTGACCACACTATCGCATCATATTCTGAGGTCACGGAAACAGGTAAACTCTACTTCGCTTGCCCCATACACCGTCAGGTTTGGGAGGGGAACTTTACTAAGCAATGGTATTTCTATTTGGGTGATGTTGTAGTTCCGTGATGCTTGGTTGGTAGTTTCTAATACCATCTTAGGTAATGTCACCGTTCACAAATAGACACCGTTTCGAATAACTAAGATTTTAGTCCACCAAAATGTAGTTAAAACTTATAACAATTACAACTTCACAATTATGTTTTAAATGCAAGAAGGGGCCTATATATTTTGAACATATTTTATTTAAAAATAGGCATTGTATAATTCAATGGACTAACATATTATATCAACAGAACTTTTCCCTACATACATTGGCCTACAGCATTCCGTCACCACCTTATCATACTGTACAAAAAAAGTTTCCAAGAAATTATTCTGTGCTTTACTCATTGTCACACGACTCAGTGGCGTCGCTACGTCGGGTGTTACCCGGTGCGGCACCACTTGATGTCACCCCCACCAAAGAAAAAAAAAAAAAAAAAAAAAAAAAAAAATATATATATATATATATATATATATATATATATATATATATATATATATATATATATATATATATATATATATGCCTACATAGGCCTATATATAACTGTAATTGGTGTCACCCTCCTCCAATTTTGCACACGCATTATTTTAATCCACCTATTAATTCAAGTGGAAATAATCATTCTTTACATAGTAAATTATATACGAGCCGACCCGCGGTGTATCATACGCCGCTATATAGTTGTTTTTTTCTACTTTTCAGTAATTCATAATTAGTGAATTCGACAGTACCAATGCTGCCACTGAAAATATTTGCTTTAAAACACTAACCCCCCCCCCCCCCCCCTCCCCGTGAAAGCAGCCTTTTCTTAGTTACCTCCTCTAAGTTTAAAATCGTTTCAAACTAAATTGTCTCCCCCAAATAGCCGTCACCAAACCCGGCTCTACGATTGTAAAAATGTGAACATTTAGCGTGAACCACAGCTCACCAGACCATGTGAGGGGGTGGGGTGGTAGCGATAGAGAGGAAGAGAGGGGACTGCAACGCGCGCTTGCAGCTTGTTTTCTAACGTCTCCCAGAAGAGAATTATATATATAGATAGTGTCACATCACCGCGGTCATCGATTGAAAATACTCTAATTAATAACTCATTAAACTGACAAACAGCACATTTCTTCTATATATTTTGCTATTTTTTTGGTCTTTGTGTCACCCCTAAATGGTGTCATCCGGTGCGGTCCGCCTCCCCCCCCCCCCCCCCCCGCGACGCCTCTGCCATAACTGATCCATAGGCCAATAACGGGCATGTTAACGATACTTGAAAGCCAGACGCCAATAATGTATGTACTGCTAGGACAGTGGTTCTTAACCTGGGTTTGATCGAACCCCAGGGGTTTCGGGGAGTTTGTCTCAGGAGTTCGACGGAGGTTCAATACACACAACTCTATGAATGATTCACGATCGGATTTTCTCAGTGTGGATGATAGAACCTCTTTAGAAAGGTTCGGTGAACTGGAGGGGTTCTGTATCTCCAAAAAGGCAAGAACCACCGTGCTAAGGTGTCTGTGTACACCTCCATTCCCAAATTTGTTATCGCCCCTTTCTCCAATACCCGCATTGTCTCGTTTACATCGTGCTCTTTACTTTTCCTCGTCAAAATGCCTACCTAAGTTATAATTATATATGCAATCGATAAGTAGGTGTGCGGTGCGACAGAGGTGTAAATTTGTCTTTATATAATAACGGCGTTAAGTTATTTAACGCGATGTTTTGGATAAGTACTAGCTTACCCTCGGTGGTATTTTTATAGCCCCCCCCCCCCCCCCCCCGTAGCATTATTTACAACCGATTTAAAAATAAAATCGGATCTTCGCTCTGTATAGGGGCAGATAGCCAGATACATTATAGGACCTAAAAGGTATCTATTGACTTCCTTGATCCTTGATCAAAGCTGTATAGAAAGCTGTTAAAACTGGTTTCTTCTAGTGCTGACACAGGGGACAAGATGGAAGAGGACTTATATCCAGATATAGTAAGTAGAGAATTATTTAATTGTTAATTAGGTTTCATATAGCATCGATCAAAACATGTGAAGAAAGTCAACACAGATAACTTAAACACAACAACATAATGTTACATGTTTTAGAGGCCTATTGAAAGCCTACTTGAACACAGTATATGGAACCTAGTCAGAGTTTCTTCTAGGCATCTACCCCCTCCCACCCCCGCCCCAATGAAATGGAATTTATATAGAAAAAATATACTTTTACCAGTGTCCACCCCCCCCCCCCCCCTCCGGAGAAAAAAGTCTGGAAGAAACACTGAACCCAGTACAACACACACCTCACATATAAAGAAAACACATAAACACATATAAATCAAGCACATGAACACATATATATGGAACCTAATTGAATATGAAAACATTGAGAATCAACACATGAAATCATGTAAATACATGAACGCAAATAGATGGAATCCAATGAAGCACATAAACACAAAACTAACTGAGCAAAATAAACACATGAGAAAATTTAAAAAATTGAACTTTTTGGAAAATGTGAACACACATTTTTGGAACATAGAACACCAATGAAGAAAGTTGACAAGGAAATACCATAATAAAAACAGAATCACAACCGTAAGTCATATAAGATTAACTAATATTTACTGTTTTTTAATCTTTGTTAAACATTAAAATAAATCCATTCAGAGTTTTAAAAATGTACACTATTAACTGATTTTAATCATAAACCAATCATAGATTGGTAGGATTACACATCTAAAACATAGTTTGCCACTAAACACAACGTTTCAATGATATAATTTCTAGCAACTACTAGCATGTCTCAAATTTGAAATAAAAAATCATTATTATCTTCCTGTAAATAAAAATCTATTATATTTATCTTCAAACATTTGGTTTCAGCATGGTCTTAAAGTTGTTTGTGTAGATTTTCTGTATTAAATTTCAGATTTATCTCAATAAAATTGTGTATTACATTATGGAATTAAAGTGTGATTAGATATGTTGCCTAGTCCCTCATCTAGTTAAAATAATTTGATTGATAGATTGAAATAAGTGTGTAATATACTATTTGTCTCTACTAGGTTGACAGTTGTCAATTTACTTTAAGCAAAGACATCAAATGTGACAAAGTGACCCTGAAATCAATCGATTCCCTAGGGTTTAAGATAGTTGATGTTGAACCAGTTGTCATTGAATGTTCACAATTTCCATCTAGAACAAAATTTTCCAAGCTAGCTGATGCTATTAGGAAAAACATCAACACCCATCAAACAAATGTTGGTGAAGGAAGCAACAGTTCAAATGATACATCAATTACAAGGGATGTAGCTTCAGGTCAATGTAATTTAAATCAGAAAACTATTCAAGACAAATTAGAGTTGTGTTTCCGTAATCACAACAATGAACAAGGAAAGAACTCAAAAATAGAGATAGAACTTAAAAATGAAGATCATTCAAGTTTGGAGTCCAAGAATTTGGCAGCAATGCCAGAAACTCATTTATCAGACATTAAAAAAGAAAAGAAAATAAATCAACTAAAGCCTGGCCATAAGTTTTTTGTTGGAAGTTCAGGGGTTAAAGTCCAGGTATACCAGGCTGATATCACAAAACTTAACGTCGACTGTATAGTCAACACGTCTAACCCACTACTAAAACATGAGATTGGTGTCTCCAAAGCCATAGCTAAAGCAGCTGGCCCAGCTTTGGTTCAAGAATGCAATCAATTTATCAAAGATGGGAACACCATTGTTGTTACAGAGATCTTTGTGTCTGGTGCAGGGAGTCTGGGTGTGAAGAAAGTCATACACACAGTTGGCCCGAGCTGGGAAGATTACAAAGATTCTAAAAAGCAAGACTGTGCTGACGATTTAAGGAGAACAGTTCTAAGATGTCTTGTACAAGCTGCAGCTATGGGAATGGCATCAATAGCACTACCTTCTATTAGCTCTGGTAAATTCTATACTATTTTTAACTTTTTGAATATTCTCTTAATGACCAATTTCTTATTGAGTATAATTCTAGTTATTTTAATAATAATTTAAAAACAATATGGGAACCATGAATGACTGCAAATAAAATATTCTCTGCTATCAGTTTAAACATAGGGCTGAGCATAAGATTTTTAATAAATTATTTATAATAAACTATTTATTTTTATTGTGGTGCAATAGCTCATTTAAGCCAAAGTGCAGAAAACTCACTATTATTTTTTAATTAACTCCTTCATAAAAGTTAGACAAATAATACCAAGTTAACATAAGAAAATCAGTCATTCTATCTTGTTGTTGATAAAAATAGTTTTAAATTAGAGTTCTCTCATTGGTTATTTTGGGCTGCCAAAAAATTAGTGGATGTTGAATGCACTGAACTCACCTAGCAAATATTGTATGAAATAATCATTAGTTTTATTTTAAGAGTGTTTTTTTTTAAAAATTCTAATTCACAGCGACATATAAAGTCCCACCGGAGATTTGTGCCACAAGCTATTTAAAAGCTGTGGTAAGCTTTGACTTAATTGCCAAGAAATTGAATTTGCCTTCTCTGAAAGATATTCATTTTGTTGATATAAATAACAAAATGGTAACCACAGTAGCCGACTGCTTCTTAAAATACTGGGATAAAGAACAAAGCGCACCAGTATTTGATAAAG